CATCAGTGCCAATAGTTTTTGCTGAATAAACTCGAGGTAAAATATGCAGCAGGTCCTTGTTTTGGTTGAGGGGAGGAGGGGTCCAATTAAAGGGGCGGGGGGGCTTACACTGTAGTCCTGATGCATATCGTTTGAGCCGAGAGGAGCCCCCTCGCCTTGGTCACTTTTTTTCTTGCCCTCCCCTTGATCCCTTGCCTTTCGAGACTTGACAACAACCATTCGACTTCGACCTAACCGAGATCACAACTCCCTCTAACAGCTTTCGTCGGGATCTTGAAGGCAAACCGAATCGGATCGGATCACACCACACCAAAAGGATTAGTGACTCAAACAGCGCGGAATGTATGTATATGATGTGTTGAGATCTCTTTGAAAAAAAAACGTGAAAAGATTTCATATATTGCATTATATAACTTACTGATCCCAATTATGTTTGTTTTCGGCGAGTGAATTTTCAGTAGATAGAAAGAACAGCAAAGATGGTGTTATTCGCGCACATCCCATTTCTACCATATCTCGATGATCCGACGAGGATACCGAGCCGGGAGATCCTGATCCAACTGCAGACGATCGTCCCCATCCTGATCTCAGCCGTCCACGCCGCCGAGATCTTGGCCCTCTTGCCCGCCCAAGTCGAGACCTACATCTACGACGATCTCGACCCTGTCGATCTGCCCGAAGCTGACCGGTTGGAGACTCTCATCATGCTCCTCGATCGTGGGTCTTCTAAAGTGATCTCCCAAGCATCCTTCGTCAAACCCTTACTCGAACGAGGCGTCCCCCACAACCGCATCATCCCGCGCTTCTCTTCTTCTTCTTCTCCCCAAAATCTCGATCATCTTTCCGATCTCTCATCGTCGTCATCCGGAAATCCTCAGTCTGTCATGCTCGAAATCCCTCATAACTCGGACTCTGATTTATCGACTTCAACTACCACTTTGGAGAAATTTCTCGACTTCATCGATCATCAATCTAAAGATCACCCAACTTTTCTCTTAGACCCTCACCGGCAATTGGAAAGTTTACTATCATCATCATCATCATCGAAGAGGACGACGGAAGAACTGAACGTGGTTCAGTTAATTGGATCGACAGATCTGATCAAGATGGATTCCGAGCAATTGATCGAGCAATTTCTGAAGAGTTTGAAAACGGATCGCCCGGATGGATTATACACGACCTCAGTCGTGAGCGACTCGCCGGCATGCAGTCTCCTGGGCCAAGTATATTCCTCGCTCGAGTCGATCAAGAAGAGCATCCAGACCCGGAAGGCTACATACTATAGTCGGTCGAGGAGCCAGCTTTGGATCAAGGGAGAAACCAGTGGGGCCACCCAGGAATGTCTGCGGATTCGGACGGATTGCGATCGCGATTCTCTGGAGTTTCACGTGATTCAAAAGCCGTTGACCGGGTTCTGTCATACCCAAGAAATCAGCTGCTTTGGCCCGCTAGGCGGCCTCAAACAGCTCGAATCTACCTTGCTTCACCGGCTCCAAACTTCGACTCCTGGCAGTTATACCAACCGATTATTCAACGATGAGAAGCTATTACGCGCGAAGATCATGGAGGAAGCCGAAGAGCTATGTGATGCTGAATCCCCCTCAGACCTGACGGGAGAGATGGCAGACTTGCTCTACTTCGCTCTATGTCGATGTATCAGTAAGGGAGTTAGTCTGGCCCAAGTCGAACAGAAGCTCAACCAACGTGCGCTCAAAGTGACTCGAAGGAAGGGGGATGCCAAGCCGAAATGGGAGGCCAAGATCAATGACGGAGCCAAGGAGGATCAACGAGCGAATCCGGCGCCCAAGCCAACCCCAGCAGAGGGCCCGCTACGTTGTCAAATGATCGATCTGAAAGAAGTGCCCGAACAGGAACGGGCCTCGTTACTCAAACGCCCGATGACGGACTCTCGGACGATGACAGGACTGGTGACCCCGATCATCGAAATGGTCAAGACTAGGGGCGATCAAGGACTTTTGGAGGCCGTCCAAAAATTCGACAGATGCGGGTTTGAGAGTGCCGATCAGTTGACGATCCGGGCCCCGTTCGCCGAATCCTCGATGCAGATCTCCCCCGAAATCAAGCAGGCAATCGATGTGGCCTACAACAATATCTACAAGTTCCACGAGAAGCAGTTGGAGAAGGAGCGGACGCCGATGGTAGTCGAGACGATGAAGGGCGTTGTCTGTTCTCGATTCGTCCGCCCGATCGATCGGGTTGGGCTTTATGTTCCAGGCGGGACCGCGATTCTTCCGTCGACGGCCTTGATGCTAGCGATTCCGGCGCAAGTGGCGGGATGTGAAGCGATCAGCATTGCGACGCCAGCACGAGCGGATGGGACGATCTCGGCGGAGATCATGTACATAGCCCAGAAGTGTGGGGTGCAGGAGATTGTGAAGGCGGGAGGAGCACATGCGATTGCGGCCTTAGCCTATGGCACCCAACGGGTCTCCAAGGTCGACAAGATCTTCGGCCCGGGGAACCAGTTCGTGACGGTGGCCAAGATGCTGGTGGCCAGTGATGTGCATGCTGCGACGGCGATCGACATGCCTGCGGGGCCCTCGGAGGTCCTACTGATCGCCGATCGATCCTGCGAGCCGGTCTTTGTGGCCGCCGATCTTCTCTCTCAAGCCGAACATGGGATCGACTCGCAAGTCATCTTACTTGCTATCGATCTCAAAGCCGAGCAACTTCAAGAGATCCAAAATCAAATCAATCTTCAAGCTCATCGACTCTCTAGAATCGAAATCATCAAACAATCGATCCCTAAGAGCTTCATCGTTCAGGTGCCTACCCTTGATGCCGCCTTTCAGCTCAGCAATCATTACGCTCCTGAACACCTTATCTTGCATATCAAAGACCCCAACCAAGCCTCTCATCTTATTCGCAACGCTGGGAGCGTCTTTATTGGCCCCTTTTCTCCTGAAAGCTGTGGTGATTACGCGTCGGGTACAAACCAGTTAGTCCTTTTTTTTCAAGAGAAAAAATGTTTCGAGACTCATTCATTGACCGCTCCCCCCCCCCCTTTTTTTTTTATCCAGTTCATTACCTACTGTGGGATTTGCAAAACAGTATTCAGGAGTGTCGACGATGAGTTTTATGAAACATATCACCACTCAAGAGTTGACTAAAGACGGATTAAAAGAGTTGGGACCGACGGTGATTAGGTTGGCTAATCTTGAAGGCTTGGATGGGCATGCGAATGCCGTTCAAGTTCGACTGCTTCAATAATCCTTTTTCTTTGATTCTTTTACCTTTTTTTTTTTGCGGTTTCTTCTTTGAATCCCTTCTCTCTTTCCTTCCTTTTCTTTTTTGTCTAAAAAAAACATATATTTCCTTGTTTCTTGGATTGATCTTTCTTCAGGAAAACACACTGTCAATCTATAAAAAATGTGGCGAATTTCTTTTGATGCTTGTTTGTCTTTTCAAGTGGCTATTCACATCAGAGAGTCTTGGTTTATACACTTATTGGAAATCCCCTGGTAGATATCATTGCTTGTTAATGGTAATAACTACACACATATACCCTCTTCTTTTGTTTTTTTGTTGTGTGTGCCTATGTGTGAATTCTTGGGAGATTCCTCAGGGTATAGTCTATTTTCAACTTAAGATTTCTTTTCAACTAGTTAAATTTGACCCAAAGTCTTTTTTCCTTTGTGGATGCCAAAGTCTTTTATACTTTGTGGATGGATGTGACCCAAAAACATGGATGCATGCCTTGTTTCTGAGGGAGGGGGCACCCAAGCTGTCAACATCTGAAAAAGCCACGATGGACTTGATGAAGGCGTTGGAGGATGACTACATGCTTATCGGCTGAACGGCCTGAAGAACAAGCCGGTGTTTTCGGCGGCGGGTGCCCGGCGAAACTTTAAAGGTGATCCAAACACGATCGAACTCAGAACACTTCACCCTTCAACCTTATCCGCTTCCACCTCTCTCTCTCTCTCTCTCATCACCGAAAAAAAAAACCAATCCCTCACGGTCAAGAAAACATCTTCTTTCGACTCTCGAACTGATTTAGAGGACGTCTGGATCCGATCATCATCGCTTCGAACGGCCACAAAAGAGTCAGCCGTTGGACAGAAGATAGAGCTGGGTTTTATGTGGCATTTTCTGTTATGGACGGTTCTCTCTCTCCCGCCGCTTTACTTTTTGATCGTAGGTCTTCTACATATCCAATCTTTTCTTCTCCCTCTTTTCCTCAACTTAAGGAACCCTAAGAAAAACAGCTTACACCAGAAAAATTATATATTTGAACAGATCTTTATACTGAAGAAAGTCTCACATCGACCCGCCCCACCGACGTCCGAATCGCTATACTATACATCTGCCGACCATCGCGAGAAGCCGGGGCTTCGTCTAAGCTCGATCAAGAGCAGTCGAGCCAGTGTCGAACTCTCGGTGATCGTGCCTGCATATAACGAAGAAAGTCGACTGGAGAAAGGGTTGACCGAAGCGTTAGATTGGCTAGAACGATGTCGAACGGAAACTCTGGATTCTGCGACGAAGGACGCGGAGGAGGAGGGGATGAGTCTGCGGTCTTATGAGGTCCTCATCGTCGACGATGGCTCCTCCGATCGAACTCTCTCCACCGCGCTTCAGCTGTCCGTCAATCATGCTGCTCGTACTCGTAATCATCCTGATACTCAAGTTCGTGTAATCAGCCTGGGAAAGAATAGAGGGAAAGGTGGGGCTGTTCGACATGTTAGTAAGGCTCTCTCTTTTTTTACATAATACCTATTCTTTCCTTTTTCTTCAACTAAAAAAAATCAATCTTTTAATTCCCCCCTTTTTTGTCGTTGGTTTTTTTTTTGTAGGGAATCTTACATGCTAGAGGAGAGTTGATTCTATTTATTGATGCGGATGGAGCGACGAAATTTTCCGACTTACGGAAACTGATCAAAGAACTAAACCAAATCCAAATCACAAGCCCACCCCCAACAACATCCCCAACATCAAGGACAAGAACAAGGAGGAAGGAGGAAGGAGACGAGAAAGCAGAGGAAGGAGAACGGCATGGGATGGCGATTGGATCTCGGGCCCATCTGGTGTCGAGTCCGACAGTAGTCTCTCGGACCAAGTTCCGGAACTTCTTGATGAATGCATTCCATCTTTACCTCTTCATCTTAGGCTTGAAAGATATTCGGGACACTCAATGCGGCTTCAAATTGATGACCAGAGCCACAGCCATTCGAGTGGTTGATGGTCTTCATGTCGAAGGATGGTCAGTCTTCTTCTTCTTCTTTCTTGCTTTCTTTCTTGCAAAACGTTTGTTAATCTATCTGGATCTGTTTGTTTGTAGGATCTTCGATGTAGAATTGTTGTTGAGAGCTAAATTGATCAAACAGCCGAAAATCCCGATCGTCGAGGTACCGATCGAATGGGAAGAAATCCAAGGCTCGAAACTCTCAGTGGTCAAAGACAGTATCATCATGGCTGTCGAATTGTTTTTGATTAGAATCAATTATCTTTTGGGCGTTTGGGAACTTGCTTAATCTCTCTTTCTCTTTGCTCTTCTTCTGCTTCATATTCACTTGTTTTTTGTTTTTACTTCTTCCTTTTCTTTTTGTTAGTGTTGTTCTGTCCGTGTTTTTTTTTTGCTTTGCTTTTGTTTGGATAGAAAAGAAAAAAAGGAGTCAGTCCATGAGAACAAACAAAAAACTAGGAGAGCATCACTTGTGGATACAATACAGACTTCCATCTTTCCCAGACAAACCCGCAATTATCTGTGCTTTCAAGACTACAGAAATACTTGGATGCGACAAATTTACTCAATCCCTTGATTCAGTTTCCTGTGAGTAAATTGCTGGTTATAACGTGCAACAAATTATTCACATGGTATCAAATTTGACTCCTACATGTGTATAAGGTATTCAGACTTGTGAAAGTTTCAATTCTAATAATGGTGTCACAATTTCTGTAGTTACAAGATTGAATGAAACCTTGTTCATAAAATCTGAAGGCAAGCTTCTTCTTATCCTCCTCTTTTTTTATCAAATTTATCATTCATGCTCTTAGTTTTGAACTCTTTTCAAAGTGAGGATAGGGTTGCTTTGAATAGTGGTGTCCAAAGTTGCTGCATGCATGTATAAACACAAATTCATATTTTTTCATAGAAATGCTTACATGATCTATGCCTCAATTCATTTATGAACAAATTTTCTTTATGAATTTATGTTCATGCATTTATGGTCCAACTTTGAATACCCCTCATATATGCCACATCACTCAGGGATCAAACCCCTGCAAAGTGGAGGACTTCCTGTCAAAATCTGTGGGTCCCCCAGTTTTGATTTAGAGCCTTGAAAGCTAGATTTAACTGCAAAAATCCAGACTTTTTGGGTCTTAATTGAAACCTGAGAGGGCCCTAGATCTGACAGGAAGTTGTCAAGTGTTAATTCACTTTTTTCATTTTTTGTACACATTAATCAAAACTGCCACTCCATGCAAAATCAAATACCAAAACACCCTCTCCCAAAGCATGTTGAAATTATCAGGATATACAATGATTGTGGAAGAATACACAAACAATGAGAAAATTTCATGTAAAATGTGGCATAACTCAGTCTCAGTACTGTGTTTCCAGACTGGCACAAATGGCAAAATTAAATGATCATCAAGAATTCAAACATATTTTCACTGCAATGCCAACCTTGAGCACATGGAAGTAATAGATGAAACATATGTGCTGCTTCAATACCTCATTAGGCTACAAAGATATCTGTGGCTATTATAGTGGGTGAAAAATTTCTTTTGACTGAGATGGAGTAAGTCTTTAGGCTTTGCTGGAGTAGCCCCCATGGCAAATCAAGTCCAGAACACAGACAAAGTGCATTGTTGTATCTTTAGCTTTGTGTCAGCCTACGTGCTCTTAGATTTGGATTGGGCGAGCGCCTTGAACAAAGTGGTTGATTGAATGGACTGAGTTGTTATTTATTAACCGAGGAATGCCATGCGTGCTACGATTAGTGCACCAAGATCTGTGAATAGATCAACAAGAGTAGTGCAAGGATTCTCAATGTGAGTTGCGCCTGAAGCGACTCACGAAATGCGTTCAAGGGAGGGTACAATGTAGGTTGGAGCTAAGAAACTGAATTTGTACATTGGCAAATCGATACAAGTCATGTATGCAAAGCAGGAAAGAGCGGCGAGCTGGAAATGTAAACTCATGTAAAGAGGCCAATGAAAAGATAACTTAAGGGAAATTGGTGTGCAATTTCTATGCTTAATGGGTGAATGCAATGCGATTGAACAGAATAAAGATATGAGGAGCTTGAAGTGATCTGATTCAGAAACTCGTTATCGATTATGAGGGGCCGGTCACTTCGCCTACCAGCCGAATCCTTTGGCCATCTGCTTGGTACCGACGGGTTGCCCAGCCGCAGTTGCGTTCGCGGTAGTGGTGTTCTTGGCGAGGGTCTTCGAAGTGAAGCCTTTGAAGCGCATGATGTTGGCGATGGGCACAGCGGTGGCTTCGAGGATTGCTGAAGCGGCAATGATGAGCATCAATGCTGGTAAAACGTTGAACTGCATGGTCTGTTTGGCAACACAAAAACATGAACTTTTAGCGTAAACCAAGGGAATGAATTTAACCACGAAAGAGGTGACTCACGAACTGAGTTTGCTGGTTGTGAGGGTGGCGAAGTTGTAAAATAGACTGATTTTAATCAACCGAGATTCTAGAGCAGCCTCAAGATTTTAGTCAACGATTGAACGAGACTAATTCTGCAGGAGCACGCACAAAAGACGTGAAGGAATATTCACGCGAGACTTACATTTGTCAGGGGGGGGGATAGGATAAGCTCAAAAATTTGCGTGTGTGATGATGAACGCTTAAAAGATCGCAGTGGTTGGTCGGATGATTAGAAGAAGCAATTGATGGGGGGGAAGATGCCCGGGTAATAAAGGCTCATGAAGCCCTCCTAACGCGCCGTGTTCACCATTTTTTTTTTCTTCACCCCATTCCCAATTAGACCCAAGGCCTCCTGAGAGCAAGCTCCTGGAATCTGGATGCACCGGAGACCAATTCAGTCGAGCGCGTCTTTCCGACAGCTTCGCTGTTTGAGTCATCGCTCCCTGCCAGTTGAGGCTCAACATGGCAGGGGCTTTCCATGTGTCCAGATCAATCTTTCTCCAAAGTCTGATTCGATCGACTGCGCGCCCTCCACAATTATCAGATCGCGCGGTATTCCTCAGCTACCACTTTTGTGGCGCAAGTTACCAAGATGGGAAGAAACTGGCCCCGGGATCGATGGTGAGTGAAGCTGAGGTTGAATTTTCTCTTGGGTTCCAGAAAGACACCAATTGGTTTCTGCGCAATTTTCAATCGCCGTCTTCACGGTTTTGCGGTATATGAGTGTGAACAGATAGATGCTAAAGCCCCTAATATTGCAGTTATACAGTCCTAACTCAAACGTCGCTCGTCAATCTTGAAAGTTTACTCATCGGATCCTTGGTGTCATCAAGCGTCGTGTGGCCTCGCAATGAAAATCAGATACAAGTGCAGTTGGGAAAGAACGTGAAATTTTGGATTTCATCATTGCATGCAGTCCCAGCCAGGCAAGAAATCGCAAGGAAAAAACATTTACGTCTCCAATCAACGATAATACGAAATATGCAGGCTTTCGGCTCTCGAGCCGGTGACACCGTGTCTCCTAGCTGTCTTCCGCTGCGGCTCGTCAGGGCTCGTTCTCAGTCCTTCATCGTCCAATATTTGCGGGTAGCCGGAGCATCTTGGCCCATTAGCACCACTACCTTCTTTGGGAAAGGCAAAGCCCACCCCCAAATGAATCAAGCCCCGTGCGAGCGTAGTGAAAAGTTGTGTAGTACGCAATTCCTACGTGGGCTTGCGCCGAAGGGCAAGCACGCATGCCAAGATCCCTCGATGCATAGATATCATCAGGACAGATCAATCAGGATTTGATGAAATTGATACCCATAGATCAATTGGGGTCTGATGTAAATGGGTCTGATGTAAATGCACGTACACCCCCGGCTTCTCCAAATTTTGATTTGCCAGTAAAACCCTTGGGGAAATATATTATGCCAGGACATTCGACTTTGAAAATCATGCAGAGGTCCGGGACCTATTATTTGGGGCCATCCTAGGAGCGCCGCAGCCGGGCTACCACATCGATGAAGATCAATGACCAAGAGGATGTCACAACTTTGAGCAACTTTCTGAGGTGCTGTAGTTAGCAACACAAACCTATCTGAGCTGCGTGCGAATAAGATGAATAGGGTCCCGCCCTAACAGATCATCCGATCACTGCTAAAAAAATCCTTCCCTGTTGCTAAATTGAGGTTCTTGCCAGGTAAAAAATTGATTTTTGGTCTCGCGCACAGCGCATCTTATATGCAAGGACAGGGAGAGACTTGTCCAGGGTAGGCATATCGGGAAGCCTTGAATCGAAAGTGCAGCATTCAATAGCAGTGAGCCAGGGAATTTTGTTTGATTGCTGAACAGAAGAAGCTGGGGATCGAACCCGAAAGGTGGACCTTGCCCTTGCGAGAACTGAGTTAAGCAAGGGTTCCACCTAATTTCAGCTCGGCAAAACTTTTGTCAATCTGAAATCATCTCCTAGTGATGACATTGGTCCATTGCATTTTGCCTTGGACATACATAAGCAATATCTTTCTGTCCCAGAAGGCCAGAACACGATGCTGGAGGAGGCTTGAATTCAAAGTCATAGGATGACTTCACATCGAGAAGATTGGATGAACAATCAAAAGAGGTGTGTACTCAGTAAATCCTGATTGGAAGTTGCTTGTTTTTGACTGAAATATATAGTCGAATCTGTTCAGATTAGCCCAATGGAGCCTGATTCTTTCCACATGGCCAAAGTCCAAGGGGAGACTGTTCCTAAATTCTCTTACAAAGTGATCTTGAAGAAGCGAGGGGGAATGGGGAGTTAGAGCGGATTCTGGACTGAGATCTGTTACGTTCATAGCGCAAATTTTGTTTTTGAGAGGACCAAACTTGGTCCCAAGTAAAATTCTGAAAGGCATGCACCTTGACTATCACCTATCAAGCCCTATCATGCCATCCCCTCAAGATAAGTCAGTTTACATCAATTATATATTAACAAGCCTTGAATAACACTTATCTGGATGGTCGTGCCAAATTGGCTGGAAGAGGTTGTCAGTGACACATCACCCTTAATTTTTAACAATTTCCCTTAAGAACTTCCCTATGTTTATAACCGTCCCGACTTTATTTGGACGCACTTGCCATTTCCCAAATTTCTTGATTTAGAAGGGGGTTCTAAACCTTATTGGCTGGTGAAATCCCAATCCCAATTGATTTTCACCGGCAAATAACAGAGGACTTCCTGTTGATTTTACAGCCCCCTGTAAAGCTATTTTTATTGGCTGTAAAACCGCTTTCCCAGCAAAAAATTGGCTCTACAGCCTGTAAATCCAGCTTTACGAGGCCTGTAAAACCCAAACATTTGGGACTTCCTTATAAATCAACAAAATTAGAAAACCAGAATCCTCCAATGTCCAAACTCATCTTCCCAAATCTCAAATGTTCCTTGCTACACTATAACCATGGACTTTCTCCCCCCAAATGAGAAATCATCAACTGGACTGAACTTGACTTTTATTTGACCAACAAAGGGCCCACTAGGCTGATGGTAGCATTAGCACAGCATAACATGATGGAGCTAACATTTAGCGTAGCCCAATGGAATTCTGCCATAACTATGCAAACACTACACATGTGGGCCACAAAAAAGGGCCTGTACAGTTTGGTGTGCTGATTTGAGGGCTACTACGTTAACATTAGTGGACCGTTCAGCGTAGTGGCCTATTGCTGATTTTATAGTTTCCCAGTGATAAATTCAGCTTTGAAGCCTGTCCTAACTCTAGTGTTGCAGAGCCTTTGAAATGACCAGCCGTGCTCCCCTATTGCCCAAAACGATATGCAAAGCAAAAAGCAGTAGCCAACAGTTTTGGAAAAAACAAAAACAAAAGTCTGATAATCAAGCTTGTGCAAGCAGACAGAGGTTATATCCTCTAGGTTCTCTGCCAACCAAACTGGAATAACTTATGCCATTCCCAAATTCTTTGGGCCACAGCTTATTTTTTTTTCAGAAGTATATCAGATCTTTTGAAAATGATTGGCGAGTCCACTTCCTGAGCCCTTCTTCAACCAGGAATACAAGACCCCCCCCCCCCCCAAAAAAAAAAAAAAAACTGAGAAGACACTTTATAGCAAACGATGATGAAAAAAGTTAGGGTTGCTTGGGTCGGATGAAAGCTTTGTGCGACTGCACTCATCTGGGGCAGCATTCTTTCCTTTTTCTTCCCTTGTATCTATGTATTCGTGTGGCCCGTCTGCTGGTCGTGTTGATGAAGATCATCAATATTTGAGGAAAAGAAGACCAGCCATGAACTTCAACTTAGAAATATGGAGTCCATTTAGCATCATCTTTTCTTCTCAACTCATGTAGGGATATTTATTTCTGAGAAGCAAATTTTACACATGTGATTCACAACATTAATAAGAAAGTAAGTTAATAAGATTGGAAGATATGGCCAAGCAAGTAAGTGATCGAGCAAGCAGAGAAACGGAAGATACCCATCCTCCTATATCAATCCGAGGCTTTGGATAATCGACCTCTGGGACCGATGGACATAGCTAATGAACTCGACCGTGTTCGCGGTGTGAGTGGCCAGGGACTCAGAAGCATCGAGCAGGTTTTGGAGTTCGTTGGACAGTGAGACGGGGGACTGATCGGTGCCGATAGACATCAATTCTAGAACCGTTATAAACACATATCAGCCATTGAGAATTTTTTTACAAGGGATACGAAAGATTGGAAGATGAAGCAACAAAGGCTTCGTTTTTATAAGCGGAAAAGAAAAAAAAGGAAGAAAAACAGATGACGAACCTATGGCGCTATAAACGCCAGCCAATCTGATCCGACGAAGCATCCATTCGCGCGCCTTAGAGTAATCCTTCAAGCCGGCCAAGGCGTCGGTTGCGACGGCTAACGCATGGGAGCCGTAGGGCAAGAAGTGGGGCAATTCGAGGGGTAACGGGAGCCCAAAGAACGGGTGCTTGGGTGTCACCACAAGGGCTAGTGCCTGGATCCCAGCGCAACAGAATCGACGATCTCAATGTTATTTTTCTCCCGGGTGCATGCTGAATATACTAATCGAATCCACTCACTTTGAGCAAATGTTCCTTGGGGATCGTGCGATTGTATTCAAGCCGAATCTCGAATGCACGTCTCACGCCAGCAAGCCGGTCTTTCTTGAAGCCCAAGTGTTCATTCTTGAGTCTCGTTTTCATGTGCGAGTTTCCTTCTTGAATCCATCGTTCGGCCAAGGCCTTCGAGGGACCTATAGGTTCTGTGGCAGCATGAGTCTCCCGACCGATCCCATTCGAATTGGTGGTGGTGGAAGTGGTGGTGGTACTGGGGAACAAGCCGGACAACGTCCAACGACTGATCGCAAGCCTCTGGAGCTCCGGCCGACTGGCTACGCCGGCCATCATCGTTGCAGCCGAGAAGCCATGAGTCCGAACGAAGGGAAGGGCTGCCGTAAGGAGTTGATCCGGAAGATCATCCTCGGCGGTAATGTGAGTCTCTAGCTTCCATGGATTTGCCGTTGCGTGGGTCGAAGAGGGGGCGTCGCTCGAATTACGCCTCAAAACGACGGCAGCATCTGTGGAAGAAGCCGAGGGGTATGATGGAAGACCGGGAAACGGGAGCGCGGCCGAGGGACGGAGGTTGTGAGATACGAGTCTACCAGCTTGGCGGCGGCAACGGCACAACATTCTCTTTCGACTGTTGGTGCCAAGTTGTTGTACCCCTGAAACTGCTAAACATGTACACTTGTGTCGGATGTGCATCTTGATCCGAGCTGATCGATCGGATACTTGCCACCACTATAACAAGTCGGATCTCTCTTCACTGATCAACATTTGACCATAAGACTGTTGCTCAGCAAAAAAAAAAACTGCTTCATCCAATGACCATCTATCAGTCAAATGTGCAGCACAGCCACTCTGATAAGTCTTTAGATTGGGGAAATCAAACCCATTTTGGAGAAAATAGGCTGGATAATCAAGCCAAAGTAATGCGTACATGGTTTTGAAATTTGAGATTTTGTCTTGAATTCTGAATCTGAGCCTCTTGTTTCTTCCTTTCCTTCTATATACCTTTTTTTACTTAGGATTTACAAGCTTGGCTCCCCCCCCCCCCAAAAAAAAACCTTTTTTTGGATGGGTTAATAATAGCTACAAATCAACCCAGTGTGAGTCAATAGTTGATGTTTCCCGGTGTTCTTTGATCTGACAACAAGTCAATGACCAGTTTAACTCTACATGTTGTGTCTGAAACAATACTTTGATAACTGGCTTCGGTGACCGTGTATCCCACCCTGACAAAATGGTATATGCTTTGATGCAAATGGGCAACTCGGGTCTCATGTTTATCAAGATGCAGTGGGTTTAACTTTGATGCAAATATGTATGTGCAACTCGCTCATTTTATTTAAGAAAAACCTAAAATACAATAAATATATATGAACCTAATCTTCCATTGACTATTTGTAGTTCAGACAATTAATTATTATTTTTGCGCAAGTTTCTTGTGCACAGAGTCGACGAAGTAAGTTGAAGATAAAAAAAGAAGAAGAAGAGTTACAGTTGATGAGCATAGCGTTCCTCCTTCATCTGTCTGTACCGTTTGATGACCTTATCACGTTCGAGTTCCAAGGATCTTTTCTGAGCGGCGGAGATGGGCAAGGGCGAGCTCGCGGCGGAGGAGGCGAGGTTTTTCTTCATGGCCTTAGTCAACGAGAGTGATGGGGGTTCCATGGCGACGTCAGTGATCGGGAATCTGGAGGGCCGAGGGGCGAAGTGTTTGACCGGCTTGGTCGTCCCTTTCGGCGACTCTTCGTCGACCGACTCGGCGGCAATTGAGGTGGTCTCTTTCATGGGCCCGGCTGGGGCGGTGACAGTCGATGGCTCTCCCGTCGCTTCTGGCTTCTTCGTCGCTAGCTTGTTCTTCGCCGCTTTCATCACCGCGGTTACTTTGGGCCTCAAGGCGGCTTCGACTCGACTGAAAATCGATTGTGGTAGTTTTTGGTCATTAATAAGGCTCATTCAGAAGTTTACCTCTCTGCATGCGAATGATACAACCAGGTAGGACGTACCGATTAAAACTTCCAAGCCCCTCGCCCGGAAGGATTTTTAGCTCGTCGTGAGCTTTAGACATTTGTGCAGATGATTTATTGCGACGTTTGGAAGATGATGATGGGGCGTTGGAGCGTTGCAGATTTGGAGTCGAGGAGGAGGAGGAGGAGGGCTTAGGAAGAGCTAGAGAGCCGGGATCCTGAGACTTTCTGATCTTGTATTCGGCACGAATCTTTTCGGCGTTCAAGATCCTGAACATGTTCTTGGGTATATCCTGACTGATCTCGTAGGTTTTGACTCGGCTGGCCTCGTGCTTCTCCTTTCGCTTCTTCTTCTTGTTGGCATGTTGGTTGGGCGGTAGGTCGAATCCTTTGCGCAGACTTTCGGCTTTCCTGATGCTGGCCTTTGCTCGCTTGTGTGGCATCGTTCAAGATGTGTCTGGTGGGTTTGCTGATGCTGATAGACAGAGATGAATGTATGCGTCGTAAATTTAAAAATTTGGAAAACTGCGGCGCAGCCCCGCGCCCGAGACTCGCTCATACTCCAGCTTTGAAGCATCTCCAGCAGAGCGGGTCCAGGATGGATTGGTCAAGGCGAGAACAGATAAAAAGATGAAAATGAAAATTCCCCCAAAGAGAAACTATATTTTGATGATGATGATGGTATTTCAATAGAATGACAAAAAAAAATGTACAATCTTGTGTTGGTGAAAAAAGACATGGAAAACTGGGCATGAGAAACCATCAAACACAACCTAAATACATATTCGAAAACATGGATTTTGGCAGATAATCCATAGTATAAGGGCGCGTACCACAGCGCTTCCCACTTTGAAAAACGATTTGCACCCATTTTTTTTTTTGCGCTTTTTTTAAAACGGAACCAAAAATCACCTCTTCCAAAAACGTGTACCACACACGCACTTCTTCATCTCGTCTATCTCATGCATCCCTTGTCCATTCCACATCCTCACTCACTTCACAAACTATTTGACATGTCCTCCCCAGAGACAACGATCAACATTTCCTCAGCAGCATCTTGATCGTTTCTACCGATTGTTTTTTTTTGTCATCAATGCACAATTGATCGTTTTTTGTGATCGATTGTGCTTTCTGATCATTGTTTTCTTGATCAATGGACGATTGATCGTTTTTTGTGATTAATTGTTCGAATGTTTTTTTATAAACATGCTTTCTGATATTTTTTTTACAATCAATGGACGATCGATCGTTTTTTGTGATCGATCGTTTGAATGTTATTTTACAATCAATGCAATTGGTCATTATCATCATGAAGAAAGACCGATGTAAAATTGCTTCAAAGACTGTGTCGGGCTCACAAGAAAACAAACACAACAGTTTTTTTTGATTGATCAAGTGAGAAAAATGAGAAAAAGACCAAGCTAAAGAGCAGGATTTATCTTGATTGATTGACCGAGACAAAAAATGTGGATTGACCTATGGTGAACAAAGATAAGAGATGAAACTGAGCCAAAGATCATTGAAGATAAGAGAAAAAGATGAGGCTGGGTGATCAATGATAAGAAAGTCAGGGTCCAGACGAGTCGAGGCAAGAAGTCGGAGTCGAGGCAAGAAGTCGGAGTCGAAGCAAGAAGTCGGAGTCAAGGCAAGAAGTCAGAGTCGAGGAAAGAGAGGAAAGAAGTCACAAAAGAAAGCCGAGGGTGATGGATCTTCTGTAGAGTGTATATGGTGTATACATATGAACCAGTCGCTTTGCAGACAAGCGGCACGCTGCGTTTTTGCAAACGGGGGTGGGGCCGTTTCCTCAAACAGCAGCAAAAGTGGAAAAACGACTAGTGCGGTTGTTGAAAAAAACAACCCTTGCGGTACGCGTTTTTGCTCAAAAACGTTTACTGCCAAAAAAATTGAAAATTGGCAGTCCGCGGGCGGCTATGGTACGCGCCCTAAACTTAACACCTAATATTGGCCCACGGCGATCAAAATTCACCCAATCACAGCTTGTGCGCGCAGGCAATCTACAAAACACATCTCTGGGTTTAAGGGATTCAAATTTTAAAAACCTGTCACTATTTCTAAGAATTGCAGGGATTGGTGACTGAAGTCCATTGCTTTTTGCAGGCCCAGGACTGGCTATTGGGACATGCTGATTGATGATGATGAGGAGGAGGAAAGATGAGCCAGCTGGTAAATCCAGAGAACCCGACTTTCGATGTCCTTGAAAAGCTCAATGGTACAGGCCCCTATATATATATATATGTGATGGCAATAAACGAGCAAGAATCCAAGTAAATAAACAGGTGTCGGTTTTCCGATGGAGTAGACTAGGATCCAAAATGTATGATGATCTTCAGCAAATCATCAAGTCCAACGGTATATGTATATTACTTACAACTACAGAAAGAAAGACAAAACTAATTAGGGGGAGGGGGGAGTTGATCAAGTAAGAGATACAAAAAAAGGACAAAGCTAAGGCTTTTTTTGTTTTAGAAAAAAAAGGGATGGGATTATTCTAATTCGAGTTGAAACCAAAACTGGGTATCGGTCATCAATTTATCGAGCTCCTTAGCCATATCGTCACCCATCCGAAAGGAGCGATCAGCGGCGGAATATTCGCCGACCCAGCCGAGCCGGGATTCATTGGGGCCCAACTGACAGCCCTTCTCTTGCAGACTAGTTCCGATCTTATAGGACAGCTGTTGATGATCGAGATCCGGAAGCCCATGATGAGGATCGGGGTGGATGGCTTGGAGACTCAGGATCTCATGGATACTCAGGATCGACTTCTCGATGATCTCGATGTATTCGCAGCTGAATTTGAACTTGAGCCCGTGTAATCTCCGAAACAGTCCCAGATAGCTTTCCAAATTCACGTGGCCTGGGATGATCAAGCTAATCCACAGAAGATAGCCAGTCACTAGACCAAGACTGTTTTTTTTAAACAGAAACAGTCGACCCGGGAAAAAAAAACAGGTCAGAAATGAACTGGCGAGGTTGATTGAGTCTATGTGAAATGATGTAGTGATCCAATCGAGCAAGCTCACGTTGCTTTATGGTATTCGATATTGAGCGGTAAGTCATCTGGACACAGCTGCGAATCGTCTTCTTCGTTAGCATCAATCTCGTCTTTCAAGTCAAGCACGGCCTCCAGGATATTTTGAGCATGATGGCAGCCGTCGAGAGCCCATTGATATCGACGTTGATTAGTGATGATCATCCTTCCATCTTGACATGGCCATATTGCCGCATGCTAGATATATATATATATAAGTGAAGAATTTTGACCAACAAATCAAACAGGGGTTTTTTTTTTTAATTCTTGTCAGCCTTTTTTAAACAAGTCCCGGAGAAATAAAAAAAAAGGAAAAGAAAAGATGATAATCCCACAGATCATCGATCTAACCATGATATATAATGTCACATATTGCTGAGCGTTTTGTAAAAACCTTCGAGGACCCATGGACTTGGTGGTGAAGAGTTGAGGACATTGGAACTTCCAATCGGTCGCCCATTGATCTAATTCGAGCATGACGAGCGATATTTCCGGTAACACGTGTTTCTCTTTCCTCTCGCTCATGCATCCCGAGTAATTCCGAGGGTCTAATTTATCTTGGGCGAGCGCTAAGACCATTACTAAGTTGACATGGCTAAAGATCATTCATCAAAATCACAAGCACAAACAAAGGAAGAAATAATGTTGTTGAGCCTAAAAGGGCTGAAACAATAAACTGAGAGCAGGATCGTTTTTGCTTACGCATTAATCAGTCGATCACAAGGCTGTACAAATTTTGATGATTCCAGTGTTTTCGCGTGATTACAGATCATTTCAGGGGGCGAACCAATCAAGTAAAGCTTCCTGCTAAAGATGCACAAACTAATGATCGAGGATTTTTTTAGTAATAATCCACATCCACATTTTTTTTTTTTTTTTTTTTTTTTTGAATGGAACACACAAATTTAAAAAGAAAAAAAAGAAGCTCACAAGTGACTATAGATTACCACAAGTAACCAAGTTCGACCCATCTCGACCAATTCGGCTTCATTTGCTTCTCCACGAAGATTTGGATCAGTGAGCTTGACAAAAACTTTGTGTAACTTCAAAGTCAAACAAAGAGACACAAAGTGAGGGCAAACACAATGAAGGCCTTTTGAGGGAAAAAAAAAACATTTAGATATCAAGTACGCGCATTTGGTGAATGTTTTTGGATCTCAAGAAGCAATCTGGTCTTGTTACTTACCATGATAAATTGCTAATATCATGATCCCCTTTAGATCGTGAATGTTGTAATTTCTGTTTAAAAATACTTTTTTTTCTTAGCAAAAAAGCGATCAGGGGAGAGAAGAAGAAGAAGATCAATTTTACAGCTTACTTTTCTGGAAAAACTGTCTGGCGACTCATAGTCAAAGCATTTTGGTAGTAGGTAGACCCCATTCCTGGCTGTGTGGACTTTGGATCGGATGCACTGAGAATTGCGAACAGCAGAAGATCGGACGCCCTTTTGAGACTTTCTGCGCTTGCTCTCTCCTAGCACATCCATTAGAAAGCGGTATTGAGATACACACATCAGATATAAAATCCATCAAGCACGGAAGAAAGATGGGGTGAACTCAACAGTAGGAGACCAAGTCAACCGATTAGAATAACGTTTAAAGAACGTGGTACAATACATCTGCATCAACTTCGGTTCCATATCAGTATCTTCGCCAGACAATCGGATCGGAGCCGCAGTCCCGCTTCCGGGGATCGAGACTGTCGAGAAAGAGTCGGAGAGACCCTGCAGGCTTGGTCGACTAGACTCCTCTGTGTGAACAAACTGGTAAACAATTTTGTCGCAGATGAATGGAGAGGGATTGTTTAGAGACTGAATAGGCGTACCGGAGCAGGGATTATCAGCTTCCTGTGAGTTCACTGAGCTGGCTGAAGGAGGCTCGAGGTCTCGCTTATTTTCCTTAGCAGGGTTCATGTTAGGATTGAGGATAAATGAAATCCGATGGGCCGCATCGCCCCTTCGAGGCCAATCAAGTATCTGAGCCGACGTAGGGTTCAAGCCGACGGGGGCCATTGCCTTAGGCACAGTTGGATCGTGATCGGGCGAGAGCTTCTGCAACGGGTAGCCTTTGGCGGCAAGGACTGGAATCTTGGGTCGCGTTTTGGGCGTAATCGGAGGTATTTCGCAACGCAGTCTTTTCGATGGTTGTGGGGCCATCGAGTAGCCGGCAGAGGCTGTTGGAGGCTGTTGCATGAAAGTGGTCAGGGTGGGGGATGTCTGCCTTAAGCTCTGTATTTGGGGATCCAGCTCGTCAAGAGATCGTTCAAGCTCTTGCGCTAGGGAATAATTCAAGTCCACCCGCTCCTTGATTCGTTCGCCTCGTACTTCGAGCTCGTCCAAGTTAGGCGTCGGAGTGGGGTTGCTCTGTTGCATGGTATCAGGAGTTCTGAGCTGTTGGTCTGGAAGGAGTGATCGGGATGGTGATGTCACTTTTCTCAGCGGAGGCCCACTATGTACATCCATACAGTCAAAACCGTCTAAGGCCATACATACACTTCTAACCGCATACATAATCTGCTGAGCACCATAGGAAAAATCTGTAACTAATCTGTTTTATTTGGCTGAAAATTAATTTCCGATAAGGGCATGAACCCCCTCAAGGCATGGCAAAATCTTGTGACCAAGGGGTATGTATGGCTCGGTGTCAAATCTCCTTGGTGTCTGTTTGATGACTGTTCACTCAAGTCCTCGTTATCATTGAACTCATTATCAAGGTGATTGGGATCAGGGGACATTTGCATGCGCTTTTTTTTTTTTTTTGGTAATCAAGTTATCATCATCTTTACAACACTGACTTTTAAAGAAAAAAAACGAAGAAAAAACAACAACAACAAACAATTCTATTTATTATGTAATACAAGAAAGAACGAAAAGAACGAAACAAACAAACAAAAAAACGGAGTTTAGAAGTGAAAGCGAGAATACAAAGAAAGAATAAAAAAAAAACGAAAAAAGAACTCAGATGAAATGACGACGAAGGAAGAGGAAGAGGAGGAAGAATCAGGCGCATAAAGGGGCAGTCAACGCGACGACTCTAGTCCATTTACGTTTGCGAACGAAGGAGTTGAAGCGAGGCGAGTCGGAGAACGCGGTCCACGAATGATCTCCATAGGTCCAACCTATCCCACACAGACATCCACAAATCGCGCAACCAAGGACAAAAGAAGAAGGACTGGATGAGTTGGGTTTTTTGAGAATGGGGAAAGGGGAGAAAGGAGGAGGACGGACCGTGTTGGTCGACCGACCAAGCCGGATGAGTCGAAGAAAGAAGAGGTCCAAAAGCGAGCCGAAGGAACAAAGGCGCTGATGAGAGATGATCGTGATGACGAGGATGGTCCGGGCGAACGACGCTCCATTCCCGGTCGTCCCATCTCCACCCGCCCTCGCCCTCGATCGACGCCCAGCGGTCCTGCTCCGATCTGGGTGGTGGTGGCGGGAGCTTGATGTCCTTGGGCTTGCACACTTCTTGGCCATACATGTCCGTCCATTGTCCTCCGACCAACCTCGTGTCTTCTCTCGTCAACTCCGAACTCCACTACAACAAACCAACAAACCCACACACACACACAGACATTTTTTGGTGTTTGATAGAACCATCAGATCAGTCCGAATCAGCGCCCTTTTTTACCACAGGGGGTTTGCTTTTTTTTGGTGATGGACGTACACCATGATCTTGATCCCATCGTTGGTTCTCAATAATCAGCAACTCTATTCGAATGATCAGCATCCTCTTTTCTGGTCTTGCTATTCTGGTTCCTGATGGTGATGTTATTGTTGAGGTTGGATGCTCCTGGTTCTGCTCCTGTTCTTGTCCTTGTTCTTGAAGATGTGCTTGTTGTTGTTCTTCAATTGTTGTCTTTGAATAAGAAGTCCTCGACTTGATCAGTCCATTTCCCGTCTACATCATCAACATTTTATTTTGTGATATAGAAAAAAGAACGGATGTCAATTTGGTGAAAAACAAGTTCAAACAAATTGGAAGAAGCCAGACGAACCTTAGACGGATCAAGATGATCCAATGAGCCATAAGAACGATACCAAGCAGAAGAAGAGACGAGTTTTCTAAGCCAGCGAAGCGGAGGAGAGTTCCAAGAGAGGAGAAGAGGAAGAAGGAAGGAAGAAGGCGAGAGCGGAAGATGAGGGAAGAGGAAGAAGGGGGTTAGATAGACGAGGAAGAAGAAGGAGAGGAGAGAAGATCGAGGATGAGTGTTGAGGACGCTAAACAAAGAACGAGAGGAGATAGAGAGATAGAGGGCCAGGTTGAGGAATCCGAGAGCGATCCGATTGGCGAGATGCAGGGAAGCCAGTCGGCGAATGTGAGGGGGAAGGAGGCGGAGACGACGGTGATGTTTGAGGGCCAAGAGGGCGGAGGAAGCGAGTGGGAGGAGGAGCAGGTCGAAGCCGGTCGCCGGACGGATGAGCAGCGAGAATGCGGCGAGGATGAGCAGCAGCAGGATGGGTGCCCGGTGGCCGGCCGGGTGGGTCCAGGTCAAGAGACTGAGCAGCTCGTCGATCGTCGCCAGCAGCGGCGAGAGCTGGCCCAATGACAAGGCCTCGATCCTTCGGCTCGTCTTCGGCTTCCGCGTCGGTTCTCGTGCGTCCATGGGCATCGGCTTCTTCGTCGTCGTGTGGCTGGTTGCTCTTCAACATCCTTCGGTGTGCTTGGTCGTCGCTGGTTTGGGTTGGGCTGGACTTCGACTGAATAACTCGAGACTGGTTTCACAATCCTAGTTGTACATACATAAACATTTCATTCCTCACTTTTGGATGTCCCACTTTGAAAAAACATGCATGTAACTACATATCCCTGTACCAAAAAACACACACACACACAAAAATACTCAAGGAACTTATAATTCACACCAACACATCTAAAAAAAACAAATCCGAAAAAACCATAACGAGGAGCGGAATAAATCTATGAATTTCAGCTATCGGATTCATGGCAGAGAACAAACAAACGCAACAAAACCAAACAAAAAAAAAACAGATGAGAGGATCTAAGTGAGGGACAGAAAGACAGATCGAACGAAAAAAAGAAGGGATCGAAAGCCAAGCCGACAATGTCCGACAACTTAAAAAGGACAGATGATGTAAGAAGAAAAAACGAGGGGATGATGGGGGGGAGGCTCAGTCATTAGAAGTCCGGACCTTCTTGACGGTCCGATTGACCTGGTGCTGATGGTGATACAATTGTTGCGGATGTTTGTGTTGCTGTAGCTGAAGCTGATGAGGCTGCGGATTGAGCAGGGAAGGTTTGCGCGGAGGATGGGGGCCGGAAGGGTAGCGAATCGAAGACTGAACAGAGGGTACATTCGACTTGATGGCGGGAAGCTGGCCGGCCGAGGCGACTTTCCCGACCCCATTATTGCCAAGACGAGCAGGAGGAGGAGGAGGACGAGTAGGATTGGAAGATAAGGGCTTGGGTTGGACAGCCCCTTTGGACGGAAGATGTCTGTCGTCGCCGAGAATGGTGGTATTACTAGTCGTCGTGTCGCCATCGGTTGTCACGAGACTGGTATCCGTAATCAACCCGCTCTCGTCCGGCGAGCCTCCTCCTCCTTTTCCTCCAATTCCGCAGCTCGACTCTGCTTGCGCTAGCTCGGCTAACTCGGCCTCGTCAAACTCGAAGTATTTGTCCGAAAGCGTCGCCGGCGGGGGCGCTAGACTGGTCTCTTCTCCTTCTTCTTCTTCCTCATTCATCGTTGGCTCATCTTCTTCCTCCTCATCTTCTTCCTCCTCATCTTCCTCTCGTTGTTTTCCGACTGCTGCTTCTTCTTCTTGGAACTTTCGTTTGGAAGTCGTCAGTTGCGGGACAGGAACAGGAGGGCTGATGCGGGTGTTCTTGTTTTTTTCGGCTTCAGTGTGGAGGAGGATAGGTCGAGGAGGAGGAGCGACTGCTGGTTTGGAGGGGAAGTGACGGATGGCTGATGGTTTGGATACAAATTGTGCAGTTGTTGGTTGTTTGGAAGCGAGCGTTTGAGGGCTCGGTTTGTTGAGCAATGGTGCGGGTGCGGGACGAGTAGTGGTAATAGTAGTAGTAGTAGTAGGCTTCTGGATCACTTTCTCTTCTTCTTCGGATGTCGATACTGTCTCCTTGAATGACTTCGTCTCTGCTTGGATATTCGATAGTCGACTGGTATTGGTTACATGGTCGGGTCGATAAAGCTTCGAAGGCATGAATTTCTCCTATAATATAACCATGGTATATATCAGTGTCATATAGACCATATTTTTCAAAGGAGAGAGAGAGCTTACCTTTTGTGCTTGCATAGTTTTGACATTATTGAGATAAGTTTTATCATACAAACAGTTACCCATGAGATTACCGAAGGTTCTAAGGGTGCGTTTGAGGGCGTCAGTGACGGCCTCCTTCTTGCATTTATCGAGGGCGTCGGCCTTGCTCCTCGAGTTTTCGAGTTTACCGTACCCGACATCCTCATGGGAGCCGCCGTTTCTGAGCGAGATTTTGACGGTAGCGGAGACGCCGACGTTGAATCTTCCTTCGGAGGTCTGGTCGACAAAGTCGACTTCGATCGATTTGGTCTCTGAGGACCATCCGTCATACCCGAAGATCTCATTCGCCAATGCAATCACTCGCCATCCTTCGATGTACGTCAGCTTGCTCCCTCCCGCGCCTGGTCGGCTCGAGAGGAACTCCGGCCCCAGTTGTTTTGACAGGATCGATTGCAGCTCGCTTGGTTCTCGGTTTGGATGGCCAGTTGATCTGGATGAGCCGGCGATTGGCTCTTGCTTGACATTCTGATGATGGGCTCCTGGTTTTGAGTCGAGGTGGCTTGACATGGATTTCTGTTTGGGTTCTCTTTCCGTTCTGGTTCTGGTAGATTCTGAAGTGCTAAGAGACAGTCTGAGTTTTCGCTGGGGGGGTTGAAGTTGAAGACTCCACATGTTGGGTCGACGCGACTCACGCGACGCGCCATGCATTTATATAGTTGAGGACAGTCCACCACCACATTGGCATCATGGCATACCATCATACATATCATGACTGTTTTAGCGTTCTCGTACAAGCTGTTTCCACACTCACAACGAACCCGTAGATGATAACCTTAGAGCGAATACCGGCGACGCCGGAAATGATGTACCGGTATGCCAAGGAGCAAGAATCTGCCACGGCGACCGGGCATGCATCATGTACCCGCTCGCCGGAAGAAGATGCTTATTGTTGACCCGTTTGTACATCAGTTATCAGGTGACAATCCTCCTCAGCGAACGCTACTCTGCCGGCCGGGTTGCGGAAGCTGAAGACAGCTCCTTGGCCAGCATTCACCGGGGCGCTGATCAGGCTAGCATTCCCATCGGCGACGGGAGGCTGAGGGCCGGGATGCTCCCTTCCCAAGCCGCTTCATACATACAATTCACAAAAGCATGTTCTCTCAGCAAGCCGTTATCGTGGTGTACATACGGCCAGCAATACCAACCCCATATTAATACCTGATGTGCCGCACCGGAAGCATGCCTCCCCCGGCGAGCCGCGGGTATGTACCTCATCTGAGACTGCGACGCAACAGGTCGTCATGTAACTGTTCCGATGTGCACCCGTCTTTTCCTGAGACTCGTCTGATGCAGATGATCTCTAACCCACACCCACCTACAGGCTTACATCCGCACCCGCAATCCACACTTTTGATTACAAATCAACTTGTTCTCTGTTGTTCCATCGTCACACGGAATCTGGTATCACTCTTTGCTTTCCTTTCGATACATTGCTAAAACGATGGTAAGGAATATGCAGTGTAAAGAAACATGAATGGATTTTTTTTTTTTTGGAAAAGAAAGGGATGGATATATACCCGGACTGCTTAGAAGCAAGTTTTGTCTGTGGTACACACTTTTGAAGCAGAATAACTCTTTTGACGCCCCTATGTTCCAACTTTGCGTGTCTTGCATAAAGAAAAAGAAAAGAAAGGATGGGTTCGTCAATGGTATCTTACCAATCTCATCACCCAGTTTTTTCTATCCGTATCTTTAATCCAAATCAACCGGCAAATTTCTACGCCATAAATGTCACCCTTGGTTCAAATCTTCGGGCTAATGATGGTAAGTTCATTCTGATTGATACCTTTTCTTTAGGGGATGTTACAGGTGATTAAGCTCTTTTGAAATTTCTCACCACAGCTTTTGCAAGTATCGATTGTCATTTTTGGGCTTCCGTTTGAGTATGGAGCAACATCTTCCTCAGGTAATTTACGCAAACTGCGTCAATCATGCAAATCGCTCAAACGAAAATGTAGCCTGAAATCGGTTCGGTCTGGCACGAAAGACTTGGATTCATTCGGTTCTACATCGAGTACGACTGGGCCTGTTAGTCGTCCCTTCAGCTTTTCTATTGAGCCAGTCGAAAGTGCCATCTCCATAGTTCTCAAAAAATATTCTTATGAAAAATGCCATGTGATTTCTTTTCCAACAGGAATCAATGCCGGTATGTTCGATCTGTAGTGCTTCCATCTCGGAGCGTCGGGATCTGTTCTTGTCGCCCACTTGCATTGAGGGCCACGCCATTCATCAAGGTTGTGTGGATGCCCCATATTTGGAAGGATCCGCATGTCCCGCTTGTCAAGCAGTGGCTCGACCCAGCATCCAACCGCATGAATCAGCGGCTCCCAGTTTATTGCAAAAACAGGAATCAGCGGCTCCCGATATTCCACAACAAGAATCAGCGGCTCCCAGTATTCCACAAAAAGTAAAGCCGCGACGAATCCCCAAGTCTGTCAGTAATCTGAGCATAGTTTTTTTTTTTTTTGAGATCACAACACATAAATAATACTAGACTATCCTCCAGACTACATCAGAATCTAACATGCAATTTTTTTTTTTTTCTATGGTGATGGATCTAGAAAGAAGCCGGCGGATGTGCGATATGTCTTGAAGAATGGAGCCAAGGAGATGTGCGGCTTCGATGGCCAAGTTGTGGCCATTTCTTCCATCTGAGTTGTGTGAAGCCGTGGCGCAAATTGCACGCCACCTGTCCTGTCTGTCGAAAAGAAGACCCAGAGTTGGTCCAAACGTCTATCGATGAACACGCTTATCATGGATCAGATTGGACGCAGACTACTCCGCATACTCACACTGCCGTCTCGTATCTTCGCCACGAAAATTACTTCATGGAGCAGGCAACAGACATTGGAACCCCGGCTATAGATGTAAGCTCATTAGTTTGAATTATGTATTTGAACGGGGTTTTCCACATGAGAATTCAACTGACAATGATATCTTCAAAACCAAAAAAAAAAAAACAGGGACGTGTAGTGGAAGAATATGAAATAACAATATTCCAACCATATTTCTTTTTGTTCACATTCTGTTTACTTTTGTGGTATGTTCATTTTTCACAAATGTGAGAAGCAAAAATTAATCCCTCTGCCAAGAAGAAAGGTCATAAAAATATATCAGTTTTCTTGCATACTGTGCGGATTTGGAAATCATCCATGGTGGGTGCTCTGTGAAAACTTGATGACTTTATTTCTTAAAACCAGAACCAGCCTGAAAAGAAAACATTTTAGAATGAATAAACGAGACAGAATTTGATCAATGAAGAATGGAAGAAGAAGATTTACCACAACAGTTATTAAACAAAAGTTCAAGAACAACTAAGAACTTTTAGAGCAATTGAAGACAGACAGGACTGGTTTGAAAGAGAAAATAACAGCATTAGTTTAAGGCTGATGGTTGAGGATGTGTCATCTTTTCTCACCAAATGGAATCAGACAATTTGATCCATATACTATTGAGGAGAAGCATTGACGAGGTCAAAGGTATTTGGAGGTTGATTAGTTTGGAGTTTGACTGAGGTTGATACTGATAGTTTGAGGAGGATTTGATGTTCAAGGTTGAGGGATTCAGATTGAAGTTGAGTGAGGAATTGAGTCGCTGGAGAGTTGGAGGATGAGGAGCCAGTGATCAGTTGATTGGAAGAAGCGTGAAGAAGTTGTGCTTTTATACCTGAGAGGCTGAGATTGATTAGGTTCAGGCATGTGGTTGACATTCAATTAGGTTTGAGATTGAGATTTTTGCTGTGGTGGTTTAGACAATGCAGAATCAGAATTGAGGTTTGCAGACAGATCACAGGAAGTTTCAACATGCTCCACCAGGCATAGCTCCCTGTTTGGGTTTTATTTGTGTTTGTTGGCTGGCCCACAAAAAAAAACCCCTGCCCAAACCCCACCAATATATTTAAGCCAGTCTTGATGGACTGGGTTAACTCTTTATGTGTGGGTGAGGCCTGAAGGCTGCCCAAACCCAACCCAAAAACTGGCAGGTAATGGGTCTTTCCAGGTCATCCAAACCCATTTACATCCCTGCATAGAGCTGAGGAAAAAAGATAGCTATTGCTTTCCAAAAAACAAAAAAACTGCATGTGGATGGGCATACATTGTTTAAAATTTTTTGGCCTATCAAGAATGTAATTAGGGCTTGTAATGTAGGGCATGAGAATTCAATTTCTCAGGATTTATTGTGCTCAAATTTTCATGTCATGAGATTTGACCATCATCAACCGCCAGTTTTTGGTCCAAAATTGAAGAATTTCAATTCTCCACCTGTTTTTAATTTTTGTGTAGAAGACAAAAACAGTGACAAATTTTCAAAATTGGATCCCATGGTACAGGCCATTATTCTTGGTCTGACTGCAAATGAAATCTGAGAAGATGTAGGCTGGTCTAAACTGAATGTGTGCCCCTCTGAGCTTATGGACTCTGGAAAGAGGGCCACTTTCTATTTCTTCCCAGAGAAACATCAAAGGGACTGTTATCTTGTTTAGCATACTTCAAACACCATTAGATTCATCTTTCTCCCAGCTGACTGGGGATTTCCTGGAACACAAATTCTTTGCTTGGGTGGTTACAGGGACTGTTCTGGGAGAAATTTTTGATAGGCTCAGATAGGAAGAGTTCTTCTTCTTCCTTGCCAGCCTGCAAAACTTGAGTGGACAAATTTTTTGATTGGGTGGATGGGGTGAGGTTCAAGAAATAGTCAAGCTAGGAGCTCAACAGATTTCCAAAGCCTCTGAAACAACCTGTGGGTCTGTATTTCAATAATTCAAGGGGTTTCCTGATTCAGAAAGGCCACATACTGCATCCCCATTTCAAGTAGGAAACTTGGGGTGAAGGAAAAAAGAGAATTATTTTTCCTGAATTTGGTTCCCTGAATCTGGTTCTGAAAATGCAGAACCAAGCTTTGAAAACCACCAATGTGTTGGTGATTCTTACATCCTTGAGAGTCCTGTGGGTTCAGGAAACAGTGCAGGGTGAACCAAAATTAAAGTTCTTGGTTCCCACAGTCTTTGATATTCCAAAATTGACTTAAGTTATAATTCCATCCTGGGTGCCATTTGGAATGTTTCAAAAGAGTTATCTTGATTGAAACTCTTGAACTAATGGCCAGTAGTAGCAGAACTAATACTTCAATCAAATATTGTGAATCTTGATGGCCTTTCAGTTTCTGAAAATTACAATTGAACCAAGTTTTCAGCTCATTTCTATCAAAGGGGTTGTTCAATCCTATACCAACAGGTATCAAAGGTACAGGAAATATGCTTTGGGATGAAGCTTGAGTCAAGAAAAAACAAGCAAGAGACTATGACAGCCCCACCCTGGACAGAAAGATCTGAACTTTTTTTTTATGGGGGGGGCAGAGGGAACACACATTAAAAAAAGTGATCAAAATCTGTTTGAATAGGGTTTGGTGTGTGGCATCCCCCAGACTATCACTGAAGTCAGTATCTGGAATTAAACTTAATTCTAATATCACAACATTTTCTTGTACTCTCTAAACTTTGGATCACTGAATTACTTCATCTTTCACCCATAATGACTCTTCTCTCACATGAAATTGAACATAAGGCTTTTGGGTATTTGAATTTGAGGCAGAATCATTTGTTGGAACACATCTTCCATAGTTTCATGCTTCAAAATAAAATGCTCAGGTATTTCTGTACAGTCTCAATGGCTGGGATGGCTCTTTTTTACCATACTCTTCTTTCCAATTTTATGATTGTGAAGTTTTGTGAATTTTGAAAACCATCTTTTTGTGTTTTGGGTTTCAGAATCATTCTTGAAGACCTATTTTTCACCACTTGGCTAAGTGGTGGGTTGAGGTTGTGCAATAAAAACAAACTTCCCATAAACAACTGGCTGGTAGCTGGCACTGTTACTGTACCATAACTTGTCTGAACAAAGAGAATTCTTGCCCCAGCAACACAGTACTCTATCTGTGACACAGCATGAGGAAAGAATGTCACATCCCAATTCCAATGGAAATGTTCAGCCTTTTTTCAACACTTGTCTGATGATGTGCACCAACACATACACCTGCAACCTCATGAAACCCCCCAATTTTTTATAATCAATTCATTCTCTATTGTTTTGCTGTGATGCAATTCTGTATTACCACTAATTCTATTTTTGTTTCTGTTTTTGCATGGTGTAAATTATGTAAAGAAATATGCATCTGAATATGTATGTGTGGTTTTTGTTGAAAAGAGGTATATATATACAATACACCCAGGCTGCATAGAAGCAAGTTTTGATTGTGGTATGAATCAGAGTAACTAGAAACACCACCATGTTCCAACTTTACTTCAACTGTTGTCTTACATGAAGAGATAAAATGAGTTCATCAGGACCTGACAATTCTCATCTCACAATTTTTGCCTGTTCTCTTCAAACCAGCAGGAAAGCTCTACACCATCAATGTTACTCTTGGTTCAAATCTTATGGCTAGTGGTGGTGAGATAATGCATTCTGCCCTGATTTATATAATTTTTGGGATGTTAAATATTATTGACCCTGATTTCTCATCACAGCTTTTCCAAGTATCAACACTCTTCAGCTATGGGCTTCCATCTGGTCCTGGAGCAACCTCCTCTTCAGGTAATTGGAAAAAACTCCGCCAATCATACAAATCACTCAAACGGAAATGCAGCCTGAAATCAGGTTTGTCTGGATCAAGAAGATTTGATTCCTCCAGTCTGAACCCAACAGCTGGACCTGTGAGTTTTCCCTCAGATTTTATATTCTACATGTCAGATCTTGGAAGTTCTAGTTTGCTTTCATACTTTTTCTTACATATGAAGATGTGATGTGATCTATCCCATAGGAAGCCATGCCAGTATGTTACATCTGTAGTGCTACCATCTTGCCTCTTCAAGATATGTTCATGTTTCCCAATTGTGGGGAGGGCCACACCATTCATCAAGGTTGTGTGGATGCCCAATATTTTGGAGGATCCTCATGTCCCATTTGTCAAGCAGTTTCTTCCAGTATCCAACAACATGAATTAGTAGCTCCTAGTAGTAGTATTGCACAAGTAAAGGATCAACAAATGTCTGAGTCTGTGAGTAATCTGAATCATTTTAAGGTCACAATATATACTCAAATATCTTGAAGACTGCATAATAATCTGAATTATATTTTTCAATGGTGATGAATCTAGCAGGAAGCTGACGGATGTCCATTATGTCTTGAAGAATGGAGCCAAGAAGATGAGCGGTTGGAATGGCCAATCTGTTCCCATTTCTTTCATAAGACTTGTGTGGAACCATGGCGCAGATCGCACGTTACGTGTCCTGTTTGTCGTAGAGAAGATCCAGAGTTGCTCTTGAAAAGGTCTAATAGACCAGGTTTGGTGGAGACAACTCCTCAACCTGATGTCTCATATCTTCTGGATCAAGATTCCTCATATGATATGGCCACACATTCCTCATATCCTGTGGCCAGAGATTCCTCATATCAAATGGCCAGACATTCCTCATATCCTGTGGCCAGAGATTCCTCATATCAAATGGCCAGACATTCCTCATATCCTGTGGCCAGAGATTCCTCATATCATATGACCAGACATTCCTCATATCCTGTGGCCAGAGATTCCTCATATCATGGGGCCAGAGATTCCTCATATCATGTGGCAAGAGGTTCCTCATATCATGTGGCCGAAGATTACTTCATGGACCGGTCAAGGGAGATTGTAAGAACCTTGAGAAATGTAAGTTAATTTGAATCAATGTTTTTCAAGCATTCATTTTTCTTTTGAACTTACAATGATACTTTTGTTTATAAAAAAAAACAGGCACACTGTGTGGAAGAATACGAAGGCCATGAACAACATACGTTTTCTCCATTTCTCTTGATGTTTTCTTTTGGTTTAGTTTTTTGCTGTGTCCATTTTCTATAAGCATGAAGATTGTACATTTTCCAATTATGGCCATGATTTATGGGGTTTCTTGCATCATGATTTATGGGGTTTCTTGCATACATACTGGATGACTTCCCGTTGCAATCTACGACCCTCCCAGAAGTTGTTTTACACCCCCTAGATCTAATTTTTTTTATCAAAAAAAATATTTTTTCTGAAGCCTCCCGGCAAAAGCTCTCACGTGAGCTGGTTGGAATCTTAATCGCTGTCTTAATTTAAGACTGAGAGAGGTCTAAAAGGTGCTCTAAATCGCGACGGGAAGTCCTCCACTGGACCACTTCCCGTCAACATCTGCGGGTCTCCCAGAGTCGGTTTAGAGCCTCAAAATTCAAATTTCTCTTTGAGAATTAAGATTTTTGGGGTCTAGATTGACTTCTGCAGACTTCCCGTCGCCATTTAGAGTGCTTTTTAAGCCCTCCCCAGTCCTAAATTAACACCTCAATCACAATTCCAACCAGCTCACATGAGAGCTATCTTCCCAAGGCTTGTGAAGAAATAATTTTCTTTACCAAAAGTTAAGATCTAGGGGGTGTAAATCAAATTCTGGGAGGGTTGTAAACCTCGACGGGAAGTCATCCAGTGCTTGAATTCTTGGTTAGCCGAATATCGAAAAAGCCAAGTCCAGCCAACGGTGTCCTAAATTCCTGTTGATCCCTGGTGTGCAGGTCGACCGTAATGAGGGCAGATTGCTCACTAGAGGAACTTGCTGCAGAAAGAAGTTGGCAGGAGGTTTCCTGCGAGGAGGAAAAGAAGGAAAGTGTTTGAGCCGAGGGAAAAGAGCTTCTAGTTGTAGAAGCCAGAGGAATGGAAATCTTTGAAGGTTGCTAGTCTACGCGACCTCGTTCGGCGACATCCCCGGAGGGACCTGCTACAAAGGGGATTCTCCTTTTTCAAGCCAGTCCTTGTCATTTGATGCCGGGCCACAGAGGAGCAGATGATGGCTATGGATGCCTCTCAACGCCTCCATCCGCACTCTACATGCATAGCGCTAGCTGAGGAGACTCCTCATCAGTCACCCAAGATTATCTGATGCGCGGGATCCACTGAGAGTATTTCCCATGGAGGCCTTGTGAAACCGAGCTTCCCTCTTCCTCATGGGAAGCTGAGAGGCCTGAATATTTGGGTCCAACAACGCCCATATACGGGTCGAAGTCGGACAAGATCCACCTTCCCCGGCTCTGACCGAGCCTGGCCAGCTCAAGAGGAGCTTCCGATGGGCAAGATCCACGCACATTCCAATCGGATTGTGCGCCCTTCTTTTTCTGAGACTCGTCTGATGATGTCCCCCTTCCTCGCACATCGACTTGACTGACGAATCAGATTATTCTCCCTTGTTCGGCTGTCACTTCATCTCCACTTGGGTGGTGCTTCGCTTGCCTCAAAGATCTCGTGCAGCGAGCTTGGAGAGCTGCCCTGACTGCTTGGAAGCAAGTTTGGAGTTTGGTATCAAGCAGAATAACTACTAGACTCACTCCTATTCCTAAGTGCAAAGTTCTCGTGAGCTCTTGTCTTAAAATAGAAGAAAACGTGTGTTAGACTGCTTAATTTCCTTCTACCTGAACTCTTCATCATATAACTTTTCTCCATTCCATCAGTCCATAGATCAACCAGCAAGTTTTTCTGGCACAAATGTTATTCTTGATTCAGAGTTTGAGACTCATCGCGGTAAGATACATATTTCATTGGATATTTCTCTTCAAGGAACGAAGTCTATCTAAAATACGGTCCTCCTCTTTATCTCATCCAAGCTTTTCGAAGTATCAGTTCTGATTTATGGGCTCCCGTTTGAGGATGGAGCGACGTCGTCAAATAATTTCCGCAAGCTGCGTCAATCATACAAATCGATCAAACAAAAATGCACCAAATCAGTCCAGTCTAGTGCGAAACGACTGAATCCATTCTCTTCGACTTCGACCGAACCTCATGTTGTGAGTCATCGATCATCAGCCTTTTTACCAAGACTTTCGATACATTGTGTTTATCGTGATGATGCGGTGTGATCTTATATGCAGCAGACAGCCATGCCGGAGTGTTCGGTCTGCAATTCTGAGATTACGAATCGTCAGGAGGTGTTCCAGTCACCCACTTGCATTGAGGGTCACACTGTCCATAAGGCCTGTCTGGGTCCTCGATATGCAGTTGAACCATCTTCATGTCCCACTTGTCAAGCAGTGGCTCATAGTGTTCAACAACAAGAAGCGGTGGCACCTGTCATTTCACATCAAAAAGAGCATCCACAAGCCCCTGAGTCTGTGAGTAATCGGAAGCCTTTTTTAAGATCACAGCCCATACATATTTGTTAACGATTATATACAAGAATGTGACATAGATGTGTTTCCTATGATGATGGCAGAACCCCGATGGATGTTCAATATGTCTGGAAGAATGGAGCGAAATGGATGAACGGACGGAATGGCCAGGTTGCGACCATCTCTTCCACACAAGTTGTGTGGGCAGCTGGCGTAACGTTAAGGAGGACGGCACATGTCCACTCTGTCGAAGAGAAGATCCACAACCACTTGGATACTTGACGGATGATGAGGAAGAAGAAGAAGTGCGACAGGCGACTCCAGCCAGAAGTTTTTCACCAGGTGTGGAAAGCGTCATGGACCGATTGGCGGGCATTCAAAACGTTAGTCCATCTTGAAGATTGTTCACTCAAGATTTCAACTTACATTTCTTCTACTGATCACAAAACAAATAGGCAGAGGAAGCGGCAGAAGTAGAACGATGGGCACGTGTCTTTGAAGCGAGAGAAAGTGCGGCTATTAGTCATCGTTTAAGACAGATGATGCGCGAAAGGAGGGCACGTTGAAATGAGCCGAAATTTGTATTGACTAGTTGATTGGCCTAGAGGAAACATCAAACCTGGGCTCTTAATCCATCCTCTTGCGCGTTTCTTCATCACAACCACAACCATATCAATGAACAACTTACATTACAAAAACAATGATAGACGCGAAGTTAAGAAATATTCATGAGTTGATTGAAACAAGCGCTTTCGGGAGTCGAGAAGTGCAGATACGGTTGAGTTGGAGACAGTTTAAGTCCGCATCGAAAACAGAAATGAGTCTGACATTTCGTACAAATCATATGATCTTGAATCCAGTGAGATTGATTGATTTTTAAAACGAAGTTTGAGACAGGGCCGGAAATTCAATGGGATCAACATCATGAAAGAAAGAAAAAAGAAAGTCAAAAGATAGATTAAAAAATTAAAGGAAAAGGAGGAAAGACTCAACTACAACCCTCACTCTTTTCCACAGGAATGAAGCAAGTCACACAGGTAGTAGTATGCGCAGTCTTCCACTCCCGATTCGCACGTTCCTCGAGATACTCATCGATCAGTTTCTGTAACTTCTTCTGCCCTCCTACCCTTCGTTCGATTTCGATCCTCTTGTTATTCGACGATTGTTCATCTAAATATTCTTCAATCAGTCGATCGAGGTATGGGATCGAGCATTTGTTCGTGGGGCCATGCCCTACATTTCAATCCAATCCAATCAATAACAATCAGCTTTTTTCTTTCTTTCTTTCTTTATTTCAAGAAAAAAAAAAAGAAGTGTAATGAAAAGGTATTGATCCATAAACAGAGAAAAGAAGAAAAAGAAGAAATGACAAACAAGTTTTCTTGCACACAAAGCAGAACGAGTAACCGCATCGCAGACAGACCCTAAGATGTTCGGACCTAGTCCCGTCCAGTGCGAGGTCAGGGGAGACCAAAGACTGACAGGAGTGCATTGGACAGAGCGTGATAGAAGGGTCGGAATCCAGGGCGAGTTTGAGGACGAGAGACTCGTATCTGATCCGCAGATCGCGCCCGACCAGTTCTTCTAGCTCCTCTGGCCCGATCCCTGCGCCGGATTTCGTGCATCCTTCCTTGCAACATCCGATCTTCCTCACTTCGCCTTCTTTGATCATCAGACTGAAGAAGTCTTTCAGGCATTCTTGGCAGAATCTATATTGGACATAAACGTGTTATTTGAAAGTGAATTGGCTGTCCAAAAATTAGTCAATCTATCTTCAAAACAAGGAGAGAGAGAACAGAGTGGATCTTAAGAAACGTACATATGTCCACAATATTCGAGTTTTATGCACTGTCTGCCTTTGCGAGTGTCGAGACAAATGGGGCAGACGAAGTCCCGATTCAAGAACTCGAGATGACGGAGGCTAAGGTCGTGCTCTCGGAAGCGGGTCCAATGGGGAGAAGGGATGAAGTTTCTGAAGAGGATGAGAGGAGAGGCGATGGGGAGGAGCCAGTCATGTTCGAGCCAGTCGACGCAGAGCCCCAGACATTCTTGGCCCACGCTCCTTCCCTGCTCGTCCATCGTCCTCCAGGCCGTCCACATCCCTCCGATCTCTTCCTCGCCCCGATCCACATCCCTCCGCCGGGCCCAGTCGCTCACTATCGTCAGTCTCGGCGGCTCCATCAATGGGTATCCCTTCGGCAAGCGTGCCACTAACTCGAACGGGGGCAGGAAACGGAGCTCGGCCGTCGATCGCTCGACGGGACTGTCCCTTTAAAAGAACACATCGAATTAGCTTGGGCTGCCCAGTCTGATAACAAGAGATAGCCCATCATCTACCTCGACGAAGGGTCTTCCTGGCCCCCATCGGAATCACTCGTTACCGGGACAGGCTTCAAGAGATCGATTTGGATCGAGATCGAGATGGTCGTTGTGCTCGTGCTGGTGCTCGGGAGTCTCTTGACGGCCGAACTGGAGTAGATCGAGAGTAAGGTCTCCAGCTCGGTGGCTTGCAATTCCAGACATCGCTCGATAACCTCTTCGCTCGTGTTCTCAGTGGTTTCCATTCCTTTCGAGTTGCTGTTTCTTCGCATGCACTTCCAAATTCTTCCTTGGGAAATCTGCAAGATGTGCGCCTAAACACATTTTCTCCTGGGTTGGGCTTGTGCTCGGACCTCCATTTTCTTCACTCGCCCCTCCATGCCCCGTTCTCTCAATCCAAAAATTACCAACTGCATGTATTTACTTAAACTCAATCCCATCACCTCCACTGCTACATACACAAAATCAACAGACCTCCATTGCCACACAAACTCAACACGAATACAATCTTCATATTTTCTTGGACCGCACATCACGAGAACATGAACCCACCAACAGTTTCCACCTCTTTCAAGGTTAGCCAAAGGATAATGTGAATTAGTTAAGATATGTAGCCAACAGATACCACTTTCAAGGATGAACAATAAACCTAGGTTGGGCCAGTTCTTGATAGAATCCAAAGCGACGAACCCGCTATACACACAAACATATACATGTTGTGATTCTTCTGGAACGTTAATTGTAGCTAAGTGGCAGGAAGTAACAAAAGGGGACACCTCTGTGGTACATCTGACCCAACAATCTCATCATGGTTAACAAAAAAAAACTATGCGGATTGTACGGATCATTATATACTAACGTATTATCCAATCTAATTGTGACAACAACTTCATCCTGCCAAAACAAATTGGTGCAATTAATTACCAAGTTGCGAACTAATTTGTCACTTTGTTATGCCCACCCAAAAAAATCTAAAATGAGAGATGAGCTCCGTTTTATTGATTTTTTTTACTAGTATTTGCCCCAAATTTGGGCGTTACTACTTGATGATCTTTGGGACATGTTGGCTGAGTTGGGGCACCTGCCTCGATCTCGCGTCAGCGTCATTTCCAATTGGAAGGCGACACCGGCATGACATTGGATGAGGGTTTTCTCTGAGCGTATTCTTTTAGTTATGCATATGTGGATAGATCAGCCAAAATGACGAAGTGAGTCCGTCATAAGAAAGATCAAAGTGAAGGGTCTTGCTGAGGGGCGAAGCATTTAGAGATCCATTCAGAAGCCTGTACGGGGACATTCAAAAAAGGATCATGCCGAGGGAGTTGATCCAAACCAGCAGGAGCTCGACGCTCAAGATCAGGGATCTTTGAGGGGTCCGATGGTCCTGTTGCATGAGCGGAGAGCGATAAGGATGCTAGTGCTAGATAGGTATGGTAAACATCTGTGGATGAGGTCCGTTCGAAATAAATTTGGTTAATGACCGTCTCATGATCTCTCAGAAACAAGCAAAAAAACAGTTCATCTTCTCCGAACCGAGGGGGAGGAAAGAATGCTCACCGGGATGGTCGCCTGGTGAGCGTGCAATGCCGCCCCATTGGCTCGACTGACAACGCAAGAGAAATTGGATGTTTGCGTGAGGGTCATACAAGACTTCTGGAGGTGAACCAAGGTCTGGATTGAGGAGAAGATCGAGATAGTCGAGGAAAGGTAATCGAGTGGCGGTAGACATATTAGGAGATCGTGGTGAGGAGTATCGGCTGGACATGATCTGGAAGACGAGCCGAAGGAAACACCTTGTTCATTCAAAAAAAGAAACGTCTACCGATTGGGGGAACTGGAGAAATTCTTTTATGGGCTGTTTACCGTCAATCCAGCCGTACACCAGAACGAGTAACAGGCATCCAATGGCTTCCCGATCCGACCCTGGAACCCGGCCACTGTCCTCCTTGTGAATGATGGATGCCCATCAAGGCTTGCTCGATCGACAGTCTCACCAGGTTTGTTCGATCCTAGGCCAGGCGGGCTCGATCGGCCAGCATCGGGTGCGTCCGGCTGCGATCCTTCTTCAGAAGTCTTCTCCTCGTCATCTCCCGCAGGGATCCCTGGAGATTGAGCCAGCTCTCCTTGTCGGTCAACAAGCCATCGGACGGTCTGGTCGGCCTCCTCTTCGGTCTGACTGCTCTCGAGTCGACTCAATAATGCAAACGAAGCCAAGGCGCAGTACGTCGTTCCACCCTGAGCTTCAAAGTGTGGTGCTTGTCCGTAACCACCTTCATAGCGCTTTTGTTTTATCAATAAAGCAAAAAAACTGAGCAATTCCAAAGGCGATCGGACAGCTTTTAAGTCGAAGGTCTACTGACCCTGCAAGATTTGAGGAACCGCTCCGTCGAGTCCACGTCGATGACTGTGCTAGGGTCGACTCGAACGATGGCCAATATCGCGACCGCACAGTAGACGAAGCGGACGTCTTCATCATGCGAATCGGGGAAGGAGCCGAAGCTTTTCGCGGACAAGGATTGATCAGATTGAGTGGTAAGGTAGTTGGGGTGGGCAGATTCACCTTCCATTGGGCCGTTGACAGTCGCGTACGAATTGTAAGAGCTTTGGCAGGTCTAGGTTCCCGTATGGAGATTCGGGCTCTGGAGTTTCGTCTGAAGGTAACGTCAGGAGGGCCAGTATCAATAGGGCGGTGTAGGTATGGGTCAAGTGAGGCTGATCAGACGGCTCTTCGTCTAGCCCAAGACCCTAGAGTGTAGACGAGTTCAACCCTGATCAGCATAAGCAATTTTTTTTTTGGTGTTAGAAAGAAGGAAAGAGTAATGCATACTCGGAGGTCGATATTTGGAGCGCCTCCGAATCCGCCAAGCTTCGGGTTCCATCTGCGATAAATCCAATGGATATAGTCGGCCCTCTCCGCGAGATCGAGACGGTCCAATCCGCCCAAGATAGCGAGGGAGCTGAGAGCGAAGAAGCCGAAGGTGATCCTGTTGCTGTCGTCGGACTGATAAGGTGGCGGGAGCATACGCAGATGGCGAAGGGCGTATCGGATGTGGGAGGGCTGTGCTAGTTCCTGCTCTGGCTCCGGCTGGTCGGTCATCTTCTTCTTTTCCTGGCTTGTTGTAAATTTCTGTCGGTTCTGAACTTCTGCCGCTAGCCGGATGCTGAACAAGGCCTCTCCTCCGGCGTCCCCGCGAGACGCTCTGGGATGAGCTTCATGCCGGCCCGGTGGCTTGAATTTCGCCGCCAGCTCGGTATACTCCTGACTCACATACATATTCTTGTATTTAAATATGTAACTTCCAATTTTTAATCACAAAGAATTGTTTGCTTCTAGCAGAAATTTTGCACAAGTTCAAGATTTCTGAACCCTGACATGCAAACCTGGTATGAGGGAGTCCAGTCGAGTGGACTCCCACTGCAACTTGCAAGCATGTTATCATGGACTCATGGAGACAATATTTTTGAGTATTTTGACTTTCTTTGATAAATTGTCCAACTATCAAACCCAACAAAAGACACTTAGAACGGCCTATGTTGTAAAAAAATGATGTATGTACCATGTGTCTGAGGCAGGTGTCTGTATACGTACATCCAGAAGAACAAAACACACTGTATTCTTTAAGATAGAAGTTTGAAATTTTCTTTGATTTCTTTTAAACTGAGCACAACCAGAATGATTCTCAAATGATGAGCAAATGACTGCAGGATATTTAGACACATAGAGAAAAACAAAGATACTGAAAGCAGCACTGAGAAATGATGATGATGATGATGAAAACGGAAAGTGAAAGGTTTAGTATCCTCCACCATACGGGTAGCCTCCACCTCCAGGGGGAGGAGGGGCTTGATTGGAAGGATGAGGCCAAGCATTGGGAGGGAAATTTTGTTGTTGATCACCCGGAAACCCCCAAGCGGCGGGAGGAGGAGGTCTCTGTTCATAATTGGGATACCCTGGTTGAGGCTGGCTAGCCGGATTCCAAGAGTCGTTCTGACTCCAGGTGTTAGAATGGACGGGTGGGGCTGGGAAGCCCTGGTTGGGATAGCTGTTCTGTCGGTAATCCGGGCCGCGAGGGGCCGGATAAGAGTCGTGTCTGATCGGCGGCGGGCCGTCGGAGGCTGACGGGAAGGAAACCGATTGCGATCGTGGGTCGACTTGAGAGTGACTTGGCATCGGCTCTGGGATCGAAAATCCCCCCGGCCCAGGCCCATACTCCGCAGGCGACAGTGGACACTCACCGTCTGGCATGATCATCCCCCCTCCTCCCGTCGTCGAGTTCATGGGGTACCCTCCTCCAGCAGTCGGAAAACTGGAGGTCCGATTGGCGTCCGGAATCGCCGTTGGATGCGGATTCGTGCCACCACCGTAGTTTTGAATTGGCGCTTGATTCAGATTCATATCACGTCCCATCCCGCCTCCCAAAGCTTGCATCTGGCTGTACCCTGTAACAAAAATGAGGGGCACCGGAGTTCAGTCAAAGGTTTGATTGATGGATTTGAAATATTGCTACTTACCAGGGATTTGAGAAGAGATCTTTCCCATGAATGAATTCGATTGCGTGTTAGGCTAGAAATTTGAGCCCCAAGTAAGGTTATTATTGGCCCGCTTTCAGATAGTTTAGAAGGAACAGGCAAGACTAACCACAATGCCTTGCATATGTTGACCAAAGGTAGCAGAACCGTGACCACCGCAACATCCCTGCTGTTGATCATTGACGTGGCCACGTCTCTTATTTCGACCATTGCGGACGCTGTCTTTAGTAAGCGCAGCTAGCACATAGTCGCGATCGTGAGACGACATCTTGCCAATCCAATCTCTCATATCTAGATCAATAAAAATCGAAAATAAATCTCATAAACAGAAAACATCATCCATGAGACCCCAAAAAGATCACTTACATTCACCCATCTCTCTTTGAACGTCTGAACTTCCATCGACAAAATATGGATGGTCTATAAACATTCAAGTAACACGATGGCATAAGAATTAATCAGACTGGAGCCTATCAGTAGCAAGTAACGAATTACTCACGAAAAGCTTCTAGGATTTTGTTGACAGTCTGATAAGGATCAACAGAGGCTGAACCCCAAGCTTGTACAACACCCTTGACGGCATGTTTGACAATGATTTTGGCCAAGTTTCCGGCGGGCTCGTTCAAGATCTAAAAAAAGAACCGCCCAGAATGAGTATCCGAAGGGGTGGAAATCGTTCGACAAGCAAGACTAGTGTTACAAGATGAAAGTGACTAACCAAAGCAAAATGGTCTTTACTCAGCAAGGAGTGCGTGGGGTCATCAGCATAAGCATTGTCGAAAACCTCGTATTGCTCTTGCTTGTCGATCACTGCAGCGGAGCCGCTATGAAGAGTGCCTGTTGCAGATTGCATGATGGGCTTCAAATATCTGTGACAAAACGACCATAGGTTAGCAGGAATGAGAGGCTGTGGATCTACATGATCAAGCAAATGACTCAAAACGGTTCGAGCGTCGTAAAGACAAACTGGAATAGTAAATGCAGACTCAGTATATCGTCTACAAGAAATACGAAACAACTGAAGCAAATCTTTATAAGCTGATTGCTCTCACTTTGTTAACCGCATTGCTAATTTTCTCGGAAAGTGTACTGAGACCCGGGATCTTCTCAATAGTCCTTTCGATAGATTTACCTAAACATTGCGATTAACGGCCGTCATGAAAAAAAAGACAAAATCCTTGTCAAGGCAGGGCTTTCCATGATCTCAGAGACTACATAGCGACGAAAATAAAGAGCAAAACTCACAAACGTTATCCCTGAATTTCAGGACCTTCCAAAGGGTCGAATGTAGCTCTTGGGGACTCATCTGTGCGGGATCGAATCCAGAGTTAGGCGCGGTCCGACTCCGAATCTCAGACAGATTATCGAATTCTCGTGATAAGTCCTTTCCACCACCACTTGGAATTTGGAAGAATAATGAGCGTAGGGCGTCGCCACTGGGATCTGAGCCAGGTGAGCTACGTGCCTGTGGAAAAACAGACAAGACCCGAATAATCAGTCATCATGAATCTGGTGACAACCATTTGAATCGAGCACTATTTTTGTTCCTTTCAAGCTTGGCGTTTGAACATTGTACCCTCAGCTTTTCTCGATGCTGGCATGGAACCATGGAAGTTTGAATGACCGCCGCCATGCTCGGGTAGATGCATATGGAGTCATTCAAACTTCCATTGTTGTGCACTCCGCTTACTTGATTTCAACTACTCTAGGACAGCTGAAGACATGCCACAAATATGAAACTGAAAGGAACAAAAATAGTGCTGAATTCAAATGGTTACATTTGAATTGAGCACTACTTCTGATTGATCTAAACTGACTCACCGTGTTCATTGCCTTGGTCAAATCACTGACGCTAGCCTCACTGATGTGATCCGATGCCTCCCCAAGCAAAGAATGAAGAAAGTCTGCAGCACCAAAGACACCTGCACCACGATTAAAATAAGATCAGCAACCAACCTCTCAGTATTGAGGGGTCATAATGAAAGATTCTATTACCTGTGACTAGTGGTGGAGCTCGCCCAGATGGAGTGTCAATTTGGCATGAATCCCCAACGTGGCAAAAGACTTGACCGTGTCCCAATCTCCTCAATGATAGCTCACACCAATTCGAATGAGCTAGAGGAAGAAAACAATAATTGATTAGTCGCATTTGATCGAAAAAATGACATCCTGAGAAGCATTCCAACCTGTGAGATCTTCTAGCGTGTGTAGCTGGAGGTTAATATCGATCATCGTCGTTAGTTGGTTGGCGCAATTTTTTTTTTGACAGAGTTTGAGCGTACAGCGGTGCCAAGGAGTCTATAAGCTTCATAGGAATCAGCGTTACCCCCTTTCGCCCTTCTGCCGACCTCGATACACTTCAACAATGTCCTGCGGATGCAAGCGGCGCTAGTATCCCATGTTCCATTTTCGTTAGCGATATAATTTTTCATCCCCGTGCGAGGATCAATCTAATCATACGGGCCAGATACCAAGGATCAGATGATGAGTTTTTTGTTGTTTTTCTGAGGAGTGAGAAATAGAATGATAAGGCCCGAGGGATCCATACTCAACCTGTAATTCTTGAGGGTCGATAGGACCCCTCAATCCAGGATGGACAGTTCTGGCATCTTTCCCTTCATTATAGCCCTTCGGATTATCAATGTGTTCGACCGGTAGATATACACCCAATCTGTCTTCGGTCACTTCGAACTCGTCAGTGGCATAGCCATGGGCTAGAAAACCTAGAGCCATAACCAGATTAATGATCGTTTGCCTGGCTAGCTTCGAAAGACCCGCAACATCCATGGCTTGTCTATAAGAGTTGAGTATCTCGGTCAACATCAATTTGAAGGTGATTTCGTTTTGCAAAAAAAAAAATCGGAATGCGAACGAGTAGTCTCGAAGCCAATTTCCAAAGTAAATCTGAATTTTTAGTGGAGAATTGAAGTCAGAAGGTTGAAAATAAAAATTGTGGAATGAGTTGAACGATCCTTCGAATGAGCTTACTCTTTTGATGTCTAGTCCACCAAATTTTTTCGCTCCGATACCGCCGAGGATACCGCCGCCAGCCTTTTTTGCTATTTCTGACAAAACATCTCTGATATTTGCAAAATGTACCCGAAGTCAGCGAAGGGGTAGAATCTAATAGGTGGAGAGCTGGATAGCTGACTCAATATCGCCATGTCTAAATGCTTTGTCCTAAAAGTATTTTTCAAAAAAAAGAAATAAGTATGTACACAAATATCTCAAGCAGTTTCAAAGAAAAGGCGCAAATGATCGATTCAGACTCAAGCTTACTTCAAGATAAGCATAAGAAGGAATATTACCGGCCCCAAAAGCGACGGACTGATCGACTAGGAAGACCAGAAGGATGGTGATGACGAAGAGGAGCAGGAGCAGGTCGTAGTTTTTAGATCGTTTGGACATCTTTTGTTCGTTTCGGTTTTTGAGGTCACCACAATAGCTTCAGTGAAGTTGGTTGGTCGTCGGTAGTGGGGTGCACGTGGGAATGACTCTGGTCGTGCCATGTGATCTCAGATTTCATCGCCATACATGTATGCGCCATCGGCCCCTGTCAAGTCCATACTCGGCCATATGTACATAACCTTTCATCATCATTTCTTATCATTTCACAGCAGCCACACAGCCAAGAATGTCTTGACTCTTGACCATCACATTTGCCGTCGGGCAATTCATCGGCTCGGCTCACAGCCTCCTGCTGAGTTGGCTACGTAAGGACCAGAACTCCTTACATGCGGCATGTAGATAAACCCCCCAAAATTTGCCCACATTTCAAACATCTTTGGAACCCATTCTGATGATCAAGTGTATGCTCTGAGATGTTCAAAATTTTCCAACCATTTTCGGGCAACTTGTCTTTTTTTTTCATTGGGAGGCACAAAGCCCAGCTTTTTGCAGTTAGCCATAACTTGTACTTTTCTTACGGGCCACTGGTGCACAAATATACATAAAAAAAGTATCAAATCATTTTTAGACAAGAAAAAATAGGATTGGTCTCAAGTTGAGGGGACACAAAAAAGACTTTCTGCCATCAAGTTGAAAATGGTTTATTTTTCTCAAATTTCTACAGTCAAAATGTTATCAGGGCATACCCCTTGGCCACAAGATTTTGCTATACCCTTAGGGGTTTTAGAGAAGGCAATCAGGTACCCAGCACTTGTCCCGCCCAGTGGTGCCAGATGTGGTGCTGGGTGTCAGATTTTGGTAGAGATGGTCACTTTGCATCCGGATATCGGCACAGATCCGGATATCCGCTCTTAATTTCAGCAGAATTGCCTAATTCCACTGAAATTATGAGCGGATATCCGGATCTGAACGGATATCCGGATGCAAAGTGACCATCTCTAGATTTTGGTCTGAAAGTCAGCTGGTACCCAGGTACCTCCCTGTTGTACCCCCCAAGCCCCCCTCTCATCCTTGGTGGCTGTTCAGATACATTAGCAGAGCTTTGGAGACACACCAAACATTGACCTGAAAGTATGCATTCTCTGTCCTTCTGCTCAACAAAGCAAACCTTGTTTTCTGAGCATCAAAGAAGTCAAAGCAAGCAAGACAAAATGTTGTAAGGAAAGATATACATCAAAAAGGAGTGGTGATCAGGATAGCAGGGGTTGGACAAACTTGTTGTTCAAGATCTGTGACTCAGATACAAAAAAAAGTTCCTCATAAATTTGCCCTGGGTTCTGCCCCTTCTACCCCCTTTCTCCAATACACCCTGGTCAGCCTTGAGTCTCACTTGACCTTGACTTGGAAGGAATACAGCCAACCATCCTAGGGTTAAGCATGTTAATTGGGCAGGTCTAGAGCCGGGCCAGATCCTTGATGTCCAATAAGGCATCAACACAAGTGCACAATTTCATTGTGCTGAATAGCCCTTTTTTGGTTGATGCTTTCAAGCTGCCTAGCCCTGCCATATTCCTTATGTTGCATGAACTGCATATGTGTTGGGCTGGCCTGATTACTATCCTTACCTAGGCCAACGGTGAAACAGATAATACAGTATCTGTCAATACTCTATCTTTTTTCTGATACTTCAAAAAGTTTGTCTTGTATCTAAATTTCAGATACAATACAATGGCATTTTATCAGAAAACTACCACACTGTCACCAATAATTGTGATACATTTGTATAGTATTTGTTGTTCTTTAGTACAATACAAATATAATGTATTCAGAGAAAAACAGATACAAATACCAATAAATACAAATACATTTATTGTAAAAGTTTAAACTTGTTCTTTTCTAATGAGCAAAACACTTTCCAGTTGTCCTTTATTCTTATTCTCTCTGATCATTCATCCATCTCCCACACTTGATTTGCTTTTCTTTTGAGACAAGATGGTTGGTAGGATTGGAGGGATATAGGGCATCACTGGACAAACAATCTGTCAAGCCCATACCTCCACCATTAACCGATTAAAGAATCTTTGGATTCAAGATACAATCATGAATCAAGCATGGGATCAACTCCAAGCAAAGAGTCAAGTTTGCTTCACAAAAAAACTCATCCATGCATTTTTATTGATGAGTAAAATAAGTGACCAAGACCGCTGGAGAAAAGAAATATCCACTATGTTCCATTTCCACTATATGCAGATGACACATCTGGAAATGTCACCCAGCAGTCCAACCATTTCTTTGTATTCCACCCCTGTCTTGCCTTGACCCTCCCCACATATCAAACCAGGAATATAATTGCCATTTCACATCAGCCTCAAATTTGACATTTGTAAAATTCCAGAAGAAGTTGTAAATGAATCTGAGTAAGTTCTTCATGTTTTGTTCTGGTTTTTAAATTCATTTGAATGGTGCTGATGTTTGATTGGAAGTAAACTGGCAACTGGGGGATGGATGTATGACATATGTTTTGATCACATCATTTCACAACTGGGTTTGGTGACATCTGTTTACAGCCTTATGCTTCCTTGTTGACTCCCCAATGCATGCTGAAATCACTAATACACCCAACCCTAGTACAGCACCAAGCTCTTGTAGAATGTGCAGCTGTTCTGTCCCAAAGATTAGGGGTGAGAATTTCTCTGTACAAGCTACTCAGTGCCTTCTTAGGATTTTGTGTATTTGTGACTTCAGCTTGCATGGGAGAGTCAGCAAGAAAGCAGAAGACTACAGATGCAACCTAACCCATTTAAGCAATGCAATGATCAAAATCTTCCAAGCCCATTTGCTCTTCACTTCCAATCAAACATGCGCAGAATCCAAGGAAATTCAAAACCAAAACCCCTCATAAACATCAAGAACTTACTCAAATCCATCTGCAATTTTGCGTCTGGAATTCAACAAAGATCACTTGCCAAATTTGAAGCTGATGAAAAATGGCAACTATACCCCTGATTTGGTACAGGGGGAGGAGGAGCAAAGGCCAGGAAGAGGACTGTGAGAAGAAATGTACCGGTTGGAATGCTGGGTGACATTACCAGAGGTGTCATCTGAATAAGGCGCAATCAGAACATGGCAGCCAATTTTTTTTGATCATCTTCTTTCGCTCCATGTAGTTTGGATGATGTTTATTTATCGTGTTCGGTTGTTTGATTGGATTCTGATAAAGAAAGTCTTGATTGAAAAAAAATTAGTATCCGATTATGTTGAATTGAAGACCAAAAAAAAATAGCGCTTACCAAAGATTGTCTCTTCCCTTTCCACTGCCCATGCCGATAGCAACAACCCTCTTAGCTTGATCCACAGGGATCAGACATGGTTGGACAGGATTGGATAGTGAATAGAAAGCATCCGACTTCTCTCGTCGTTTGAGCGAACAAGGGATGACAAAGCAATGGAGGATTGTCGGATCACTTCAAGCACTGCAATCGCACCGGTGGGGTGATAGATCATGCGGAGGGCTAAGAACGATAGCGTTGTCCATATGCCTTCGTGGACCAGTCGATATTGCACAAGATTAAAATTGCTCGAAGTGTCTCGGTGTAAGCAGACCTTGAAAAGATAGAATACGTATGACCCATGCGAAGTGGCATGAAGATATGGATGCGATATCAGTGTCCTTGATGGCCAGTTTTTATAGCGAAAAAAGGACTGTACATACCGGCTTCCTTGAGGCACCACAGGTTTTCATCTGGTCGCTGCTTCATTTTTTTTATATTCGGATGTGCCTCCTGGAGATACCATCAGTCTCCTTGAGATTCATGATCATGCTCCTCGCGATCGAAGTCCTGACACTGTTTCCAATAGCATCCAGCTCGCCAGCCAGCACGTCTTTACCAGTAGTAGTTCAGACAGGTCAGTTTTAGGTCTTCCAACTGCACAAGGTCGCTATACGACGAGGGGTTATCAGCTTCGAAACCACCCTCCGGCGTTCGTCTCTTGAGGATATGTAAACCCATCGGTTTCCAGACAAGCGTTATTATCCTACATACCAAATTTGCTCCGCATGAGCTTCATCTTACTCTTGCTACCGTGAGAGCAGTTGTTAATCGCTGGATACACTGATTGGGCCTCCATTGGTCGAATGGCTGGGCGATGCTTCTCGCGAATCTTGCAAGCCTTCACAAACTTGGCTGGACTTCATCAGCCCGATGTTCAACGATCATCAAAGGGAACAAGCCACGGGGAAGTCAGTCGTGGGGTTTTTTCCAGATCGAATACGCATACGTGTGAGAGAAATGCCTACATACATATTACACGGTTACTTGGGGGGTAATCTCAGGAATCAAGCGCGGTTGATGCGACCCAAGTCCGGCATCAAGAGATAAGGGAGATAGCGGTAATCAGCGTGCCACAGCCACTGAAGAAAGTTTCAGAGATGTCAATTGGGTGCGCAGCATGTGATGTATGTATATCATCGTGCTCCATACATCATAGTCATACTGTGTCAAGAGTCACGATAATCTTGACACATTTGCAAATTGCAACAGCTCGACGGCCTGGAAACTTCAAAAGGAACAAACTTGCCCCCGTCCTTAAATCCCTCTCCAACCGATTTGGGAGTGTTTGATAGCATACAGCATGATGGCAGCAAGCAATACCGACTACGAAGCCGACCTGAAAGAGGACCTACTCGAGGGACTCGCGGCCATCAGCGCGACACCCGGGTTGATAGCTGGGCCGACAGCCGGTGCACTCGAATTGCAAACGGACACACTCCGCCATGCACTTGAGCGCTGGCATCACCACTCGGCTGATCCCAACGCCACCCACGTCCCCAGTCACCTCTACCATCTGCTTGATCGCCAATACGCCCAAGCTTCGATGTCCTTCAATGCACTCATGCCCAACGACTCCGCCCAGGTACTAGGATTACTAGACCTCACTCGCGAACGTCCCTTCGAGATCCTCCTGGCCGCCTTGGAGAAAAAAGAGCTGGGCGATGTCCAGCCCCACGACCCGAATATATACGTCGATTATGACCCCGAGTGTCACGATATCTCCGAGTTCGAAGCCGAGGAAGCAAGCACTTTGCACGAAATGACCAGGGTGCGCAAAGTCAGCTATACGGTCAAGGCGCTTCGAACACTCGATGGCACAACTATCGCAACCAACTTCCCCTTCGACACGAGCTTTTGTCTGGTCGATGATCCCTTTGAGGACATGGAGATTACCGAGGAAAGATACAGAGCGTTCAAGGGCAGGAGGGTATGTACATACCAGCTTGGCCAAGCAGAGAGATACTAATCGATTCATACTAATGTCGAGTGATCGGAAACCCCTCTATACCTCCAGGACCCTACTGCTACCCATTTTTATCGACTTTCTGCTCTGGTCTTGGTTCCTTGTCACCGCTTTGGCTTGTTTTTGTCTGAATGTCATGAACATCAAGCTTCATCGAGATAGATGATATTGGTATCTTACACAGTAACGATCGGTATGACCTCGATGATAATAACACTGGAGAATAAGGTTGATCTACGTAGTGAAACAATCAGTTGGAGGTTGATTGAACAAAGAGAAAACCTATAACAATGGAAGAGGGCCAACTCTATTAGATCAACTGAGCTTGAACCTGCAACCGCAGCGCAAATGATAACTGTGTATGCGGATGTCTTGAATATGCAAGAAGAGATGAAACTAAGTTTGAAAGAGAAAGCGACAACCAAGTTCAATGAAATCCACAACAGGATGTGGGCCAGGATCCCATGCAATGCTCACTTCAACTCATCCTCAAGCCACCTCAAAAAACCCCTTTCTTCCTGCCCTTCAGATCCCAGACCACTGCTTGATCCAATGTCCACTCTCTCTACAAATCAAAGCACAGGAAGGTTGACGATTGAGACACAATAATTGACCTGCTCAAGACTGCTGTCAATCACAATTAGAGCATCTCCACAGCACAGTGGGGGGTCTATTAATTTTTTTGATCAGGCTCAACAAGGGGTTTTTGTAGGTCCAGAAGACCTCAAAGGTCACCCAAGAACCTGTGGCTTTTTGCTGTTGTGTAGGAGATGCTTGATCAAATTGGAGGAGACCTGCTCATCCAGGCTGGCTATTCCCGCTCCCCTATCCAGGGTGCCTTGGAAAGAACTGCAGACAAAAGACCTGCTAATCCATCTGAACGTTGGGGAGTGCCTGCCAAAGAACAGCCCAATCCATCCCCGCCCTTACCACCAACTGTTTCAAGTGGTTGACATCTGCCCCCAAGCCAAGTACCTAGCTTTTTTTGACTGGGCTGAAAAGCAAGGCTCAAGCTTTGTGGTTTAAGTCCCTCCCCAAATTCCATATTCTCCGGACTCATGATAGTGTGTTGGCCTGATCAAGCAGTTGGAGATGTATAAAAAAATCACACAAGCAAGGGGACTGCTTTGGCCATCTGCAAGAACATGAAGAATAAAAAAATTCATTCAGGAATGAGTGAGTGAGGCAGAGTGTGGAAAAGGCTCCCCTATACTCTTCAAATTCAATCATCTAGAGCTGCAGGGGAGTACCTCCCTCTGGTTGGTGCAATACATCCAGTGTTTCATCACTACTACACAGTAGGCCAGAGGGGATTATTTAAATTGGGTGATGGTTTTCTGAGGACTTTTCTGGATGGACCAAATTCCCAACATCAAAGTGAAAATTCCCTTTTGGGAAAAATGTGGAACTATTGGTAGAGTCCAGGTAAAAAACTTTTGCTTTCCAATCTTCAACATGGACTATAATTGGGCCCCGTTTGTTTGCGTTTTGATCAAGCATTGTGAATGATGTCGATTCCGTATGTGACATGTGAACTCTTTCCCTACAGAAGTCATGATTTCACTTCAGTTTCGGCTAATTTTACACATCTGAAACCTGGTGTTATGACACAAACAAACAGGGCCTACATATACTATGATTAGGCTTTCTACAGTCCATGTGTACCATTTAGCTTGTACCAACTGGAAACAGATTGAGACTTATTTTTTTGGTGTTATGTTTTAAGGATGGTCAATGTGGTTTGGTAACCCAATTTGCCACCGGTAATAGATTTTTTCTCAGTTTCAGGTTTTGATTTCAACCCTGGGAGAAAACTGAACCTACATAATGGGCTTTGTAAATATGAATTGAACTCAATTCCCTCCCAGTAGAGTTGGCCCCATAAAACCCATTGTGGGTACTCCATATCCATTAGCAGGTACCCGCCACTGTCTGGCAGGTACCTGCTGGCATGCCCTTGCTTGGGTGTGAGTGTCTCAGAGTCTCCAGAGTTTGGCCAGGTAACCAAGTATCTTCCCACTGCCAGGTATCCTCATACTCACCCATCCAAGGAGGGCTCCTTTGGACAGAAAGGTGAGAGCAAGAAGAATGACAAGCTTTTCAAGCAACAAGTCTTGGTGCCCTCATGCATTGAGAGGCAAGAAGGTTCAACCTTTGGGCACAGCGTGTGATTGGGTAATTGCCAGGTTGGATGTCAGATCTGAGCCAAAAAAGAAAACACCAGATACCCAGATACAAACAGGTACCTGGTTTCACATTAAATCACAGGTACCAACTCTGGATACCACTGTGGTGTTTCAGAAATGAAGATTGAATTATGAAGTTTTTTTCAATATGAATTTTGAACATGTCATTCTCCAACATAAAATGAAGATATGTATCAGGGAAAAACAATGATCACTTGATGACAAGTGACATCAGGCTAAGTTCCTCATGTCACCCATTGGAATTATGTACACAGCCCAAGTCTAGTTCAGCCCCCTGAGGCACACCAAGGGGCCATTGTAGTTGAATTTCAGTACCACTGGAGCCACACTGGAGTTGTAATCAATGCTACACAATTTCACCTGTCATATGGTGAGAATTGTTTTTTTTTCCTGGTGATGCTATGATCAGGTTACATATAGCTCATGTGTAAAATTTGTCTTGGACCATCTGGAAAAAGCTCAAAAATATCATGAGCAAGACTGAGTCTTTTGGGTTTTGTGGTGGGGAATGTGGTTTAGTCACCTAATTTGCCACCCACACACAGTTGAGCTTCTCTGATCTTCAGATTCTGATTTCAAACCAAGAATTAAATACAAACTATGTCATGATCTGTTTGAAATTCAAACTTCAATCAAGTTCCTCCTTCCAAAACACTGTGGGATGCTACACTAAACTATCTGTAGAAGCCACTAACTAATAGTGTAGTGGTCTGTAGTTCCCTTCCAAAATCTGTTAGCAGATAGTGCCAAAGCAGGCCAATATGCTACACGAATTGGGATAGCTTCTAACTATGGTAGTGGGCCAGTTTTTTTACTGGGGATCCGGTTAGAATTGGCCCAGAAGCACTGACCACTACCACAAAACCAAATTGGCAGTGGTGATACACTAAACTGCCAACTACAAGTGGTGCAGCTACTAGCAGCCCACAATTTCTCTGACAAGCAAGAATCCAGATACCACCAAAGAGTTTCAGAAACAAAGATAAATAGTTTGAGAGTTGTATGAGGACTAGATTCAAAATAAAATTGACACATGCCATTCTCAAACATAGACTATAAATATACTACCATTTAACTGTTTCTGATTAATACTAAGGGAAATTTAAGTTGAATGATTCCCTGAAATGTGTCCAAAATACATGATTTCAAACTTTTTCAAGTGAGTATTTAATAAATTACAAGCAAAATTTGCATGCATCCTGATAAAAATTGATTGAAACCCCTGGTAAAACGAAGCCCAGTGGGTAAATTTTTCAATATGTTTATAATGTCTCAACTTGAAAGATTCTTCCCCATATCTTACTTCAAGGAAAAATTTATTTCCTGGATCATCTTCAAGATAAAAAAAAATAGAAAAATCATCTCAGGAAATTGAAGCAAAATTCACAGATACTCCATCCTCCTATTCAATAATTTCCCCATCAAAAGGTATGAAATTTGAATAAATAAATATACTAAATAGACAATAAAAGATAGATTCCTTTATTTGTTGCTGATATATGATTTCTTTTATGTTCAGTCAATTCACAAACATTTGAATATATATAATGGAGCTTTGGAAGATTGGGACATCACTTTTATTTCTACCCTTCCTGCTTGGAAGTTTACACCCACCAGATATAAGTGTTGATTTTTATCACAAGAGCACGTGTGGAAACACAATGGTAGATATGAAAAACCTAATTCCAATTGGATACTGTGCCAAAGATAATTGTAATGCTCCATATGCAAGCAAAATTGAGGCTTTCTGTAAAAGTTGCCAAGAAAAAAAAACTGTAGATGTCCAAGGGTGTCTCCAACATGGGTATGCTGTGCATCTTGAATTTTGGAATTTCAAATTAAGACATGGTAACTGTGGCTTGCAAATTAAACTGACATGAATTATTATTTTGGCAGTGGGCGTTTGGAATTTATAAGTTACAAAAAATGAATCTTTTGCAAGGTAGTGGAAAATGTCTACTTATAAATTCAAATATTTATAACTCGTTGGTTTTGGAATTTTGTCTCATACTCAGCCCTATATCCTTTTTCTTTCTGAAATTTTTATCTATCAATATTAGATAGCTCAAACTCTTTGGGTCTACTGCTTCATTGCTTGAAGTCTTCTCTTTAGTCCAAAAAAAACTCCTGTTATGTAGCTCATCCCCCAGCTTGTAGTCGTCGAAAAAAAGATTGAGGAGTTTCTGTCTTTTGTCATGTAGTTTTGCATATCTTCTAGGGTATACTCAATTCATGTCAAAAATGAAATTGTACCCAAAAAGTTCCTATGTTTTTATATTCAACGAGGGCATAGCCCCCATTTTTGGGGTCAGAGGGGGGCTTTAAATGAAAGGGAGAACAGGATTGGATTAATTAGGTTACTTGAGAGATTTTCTGGTGATAAAAGGCACATCAATTAGCAGAATGATGATAAAGATGGCCTCAAAAAGATCAGTGTAATATGTGAAACATAATTGAAAAAACAGTATTGGATTCTTTCATGATCAAGGCCTTTGAAGATATTGAAGAAACTTGTATAAATATTAACATTGCAAAAAGAAATTGTAAGATACATTCATAGTAATAAAATAGACCAAAAAATCAGAATATTAATTCTGCCACTGGTCAGTGGCAAGCGGCATTTCCTCCTAGATCTCAGTCCTCCATCCAATGCATGAATACCCACAAATATCAACTAATTTTGAGGTATAGTAGAAGTTTCCAATTCACCGTGTAGATTTTTTTTGTGCTAAAGCTTCAATCAAAGAGCTTAAAAATTGTAGCTCTACTAAGAGTCCACTGATTCTACATTAACACTATTAATGACCAAGTGGTATGGTGAAATGCAGCACCCCAGTTTTGATCTGAGTTCTACTTTTGGATGTAAGATTGTTTTGATGTATTGTGTCATTTTTGCAATTTGGATACTCTTGAGATAATTCTATGAAACTCTGATTTATTCCAGCATAGCACACTAAAGATGGCCTTGGGGTACCCTTTGGGCGGTACCCGGGACCCGTTGGCGGGTACCGCCTTCACTCCTCCGGTACCCGCCAACAGGCCCCGGGTGCGGTACTTGGTGTCTGTTTTTGGCCAAAACCAGACCCGGTACCCGGGTACCCTCCCGGGTACCGCCTCAAGCCACCTGTATATGTGATACTGTTTCATTTATTGAAAAGAAAAAATGTGATAATTTTTTAAATTTTGTTTATTGAAATAAAAAAAATGTGAAACTTTCTTACTTATTTAGTATAAATGAAAAGAAAAACAATTCTCACCAGCATTTTTGGTGTGTTAAACTAATTGAGACAAGATAAACTCTTATTGAGTATAAATTGAAAAAAAAAATGTTAAAATGAA